AACAATTACTTTATGTAGTCTATATATTAGAAAGAAATGAAAACCATACTTTATCTGTGTTCAAAATGTATAATAAGTTCCTTATCAGGAGCAAAATATATGTCTTATAAGAATAATAGACATAATCACAGCATAGGTAGTGCAAAATTTCATAACATGTCGTTGGTACGAATATAATAGAGGTGTGTCTCAAGTAAGCTGTAAAGTTCATTTCTAGATTTCGTAATTTCGATTCAGGACACCATTGAGTATTGAATATGGTTTCATGGAAATATGAAGCAAGCAGTATAAATATATGAAAATATCGAAGTATATCCTAATGCAACTTGGAAAATTATAATTACAATTGGCCTGAACAAATTTCTAATAGCCAAAAAAATAAAAAAAAATTTGATAAAATAGATAAATATTAAATTAAATTGAATTAAATTAAATTAAATTAAATTATATTAAATTAAATAAATCAAGTAAATTTACATCAAATTAAAATAAATTCAATTCAATTCAGTTAAGTCAAATCAAATTAAATTAAATTAAATTAATTTAATCAAATAAATTAAATTAAATATAATATAATTAAGGATATCAGATATAAGTTACCCATAAGTAGTAAATATATTACTTCTTAAATTTTCTAATAGTAAAAAAAAATATAATAAAATAGACACAAATATATATATATAATTAAATATAAATAAACATTAAATAATATTAAATTAAAGTAAATTAAATTAAATTAAATTAAATTAAATTAAATTAAATTAAATTAAATTAAATTAAATTAAATTAAATTAAATTAAATTAAATTAAATCAGATTAAATTAAATCCAATAAAATTAAATCAAATTAAATTAAATTCAAATTATTTGAATTGAATTCAAATTAAATTAAATTATATCACATTGAATTAAGTAAATTTTAATTATATAAAATTAAATCAAATTATATCAAATTAAATATAATATAATTAACCATTAGTAGTAAATATATTACTTCTCAACTCTTAACCGACTTACTCTTTACTACTTCTTACAAAACCTATCTTATTATATTCAACTGATGGTAACCAATTTTAAGGAGATAATATCAAATTTCTAAAAAAATTTTTTTGTTTCCTGTATTTTATCATATACAGTACTTAAATGTTACTTTTATTTATTAAATTTTAATAAGCAAACTCTTTAAATTACAAATACTATATTAAAAAAATACCTCTTAGATATTTTGTTTGAAATATCCTGTATCGTTTCGTTTAGCTAAATACTGACAAATCGAAATTGTTTTATTTTTTTTTTATTTTTACAGAAAATGTTATCTAATATCATATACGATAATATGTCGTATAAGTTTTCTAAAATATTTACTTTCAGTTGAAGTAATAACTTCATCAACATTTCAGCTATGTTAGTCTGTTATTAAGCCATAATTAAAGCATATGCATTTCCCATTTCTCATTAGAACTTTATGTCTAAACTCATTCACCCACGCTTGCATCAAATTTATGTTTGCTTTATCTCAAATACTTTAAGGGACTTCCTATCCAAATGATGTTTAGTCCCACATTCCCAAAACTACTCAGCGTAAGTGCAGCTGGCACATCAGTACTAAAGATGTCAATGTTTCTGTGTTTCACAGTTGCTGTTGCTCAAATGAGGTGACGCTATATGCACTGAAGTTATTTATTTGCTTTCTGCTCCATTGTCGTTACGAGCAATAAAAATTTTGAATTAGTTACTTAAAAGTTTCAGAATTAACATATTGAGGTTGCAATGCAATTGAGCTATTGCAATACAAAACATTGTATGTGAAAATATTGTATGTATTTGATGAGTTCGATTAATTTAGTCACAGTACTGCAATAGTTTAAAAAAATAATATATACTAAATGAACTTAATAAAATTTAATAATAGGATATATGAATAATAATAAACAAAATAAGTAATAATAAATACTGGTCCTATAATAAGTGTATTACACAAAATTTGCAAGGATGTTGCATTGAGGAAAAAAAATAATTGTTATCTAATTTAGTGAAGAATACCACATAATATTATTACTATTAATCTATTAATAACTAGTAAATAATTAACTTAATAAGATAATGCATACCTCGTTAGTAAGCACATACTTGTTACTCATTACCAAATCAGATATTCATAAAAAAAGATTTGGTCAGGATTTTTGCTCTTATTACGAGCGTTGAATATTATTGTTAAGGGATGTGGCACTGCGACCATCGGGTCACCTATTGTGACCCCTACAGGGTTTAGAGTAGTTTCTTAAGCTCCGTTGCGTCAATGAAAAGTAGTACAGAACCTACTTTACAAAGTGTTATTGCCTATTCCGTAAAGGTATATATTCCCAAGAGTCTATTCCGTTTGTGCATTAGCACAGAACATGCTAACAGCACATGTGTAGCTGAGTTTACAGTTTTCATCTGTATATATACCCAGTTTCGTGAGATTGTATTTTAGTTTACAGTGCCCTGTTAGGAATCCTGTGATGATTCTAAGTTTTTACTGTGATAGGCCTGTACAATCCTGGTACCTCCTATTATTATATGTACCAATAAGTGGCTTGGATTGTGTTAATCCTGGTAAATCATCCCAGTAATCCAGTAAAAGCGTTGATACTTACCAGTAAAGTAAAAATATAGTTATTTAAAGAAAACCTTTGAAAAAATGTTAGTCAAAAAAAAAATTTTTAAGTAATGTGTTTTCCAATGAAAGGAGGAGTCATATTAAAATAAAAAAAAATATAAGGAAGCATAAATATTAAAAACAAATAGTAAAACTCTGTGCAGATACAATCTAGTAAATATTTGACATAAATTTTTAATCTTCATACTTCAACAATGTGGTTTCTTTTTTAAATATTAAATGATAAAATAAAAATAATTAACTTTTGTTGTATTTCAGTTAAACTGATACAACACAGGTACCAGGACATCATTTGTTCTTTGTCTTTTGTACTGCTCCTTCTCATCTTAAAAACATAATTATTGTATTTAATGTAATATTTATTGTTTTTCTTTTTTTAACAAAAATAAAATAAAAAATTTCCTTATATTTTGTTAGTTGTTTAGATGGAAGGGACGAATCTCAATGTAAGTCTTTCTGAATCAAAAATGTTGTTCCGTTTCTTTAAATAGATTTCAAAGATTTTTAGATATCTAGAGTGGTATATTTTTTCCCTGTCTATATGATTATTCTTAGAATTTATATAATTCGTGAACTGTGTCACGGAATCTGCGATAATATAAGAAGATGATAAAAGAACAAATTACAACTTTTGAAAATACAGTGAGATGCATCAGAGATTTATACCCTAAACCTACATAGGTGAAATCTTGAAGTATTGTGTTAGTAGTTTGAAATTCGAAATAATGGTCATATACCGAGTTTGATATCACTGGAGAAGTAAAAATAGTACTTATCATTGCGAAAATATTGAAATAGTCTGAAATGTGAAACAACTTCCATTATTTTGTTTTTCAAGAAATCAAATTCTTAAAAGTATAAAGAAGTTTTTACATTAAATACTTTATTCAGTAAGATTCATTATCTCATCTATGCTTGTATATCTGACATAAGACTAAAAAGATAAAATAACATTAGCGATTAGCGTAACTACTTTAGATTAGCGGCTCAGAGATTTATTCAGGCCATTTTAAGCCACTTACTTACGCATGGTCAGACCTCTATGCAAGCCAACGTCTATCTGGTAACATTATCTTCTTCAGATATCAGTTTTCTGTTTAGAGTATTGCCTCTATTGTGGTGCTGCATCTATTGAAGGTTACACTGGCATTACGGTACTTCTGCGCCTTAATGCTACTTCTAACAAAATTAGTTGAGCTTCAATGTGTCTTGAATTTTCTAAAACTTTTTTTTTATGTGTTGATTTTTTTGTTAAATATGACGCGTCTTATGATGAATATAAAACTATAAGAGTTCGAACACTAATGGAGAAACAACAACAAAAATTTGATTAATTTATTGTTAATTGTCTGACCATACAACGCTTTTTCGAGTATTGACCAGTACTTATCATCAGTGATCTTATAGAATATTCTCATTCTTATTTAATTACTTTGTAATCCGTATATAATTTGTTGGACTGTGAGTACCATGTTTAGAACACGTGTTTGTTAAATTAGAAACGATGAGTAATCATGTTTTTCTGCAAGTATATTATATATTTATATTGTATTATATTGTTTAACTTTTTTAAACTGTTTAAGTATATGAAAAATACTATTTATGAATTAAAAATTAAAAGGACAGATTCTCGGAATTAGTTTATAAGTGACATATATAAAATTTTGAAAGTAGCATTTAAATATATTAAAAACAAACTATTATATATGAATATATGTATTATTACATATATATCTGTTATATATATAATATATATATATATTATTACATATGTATTAAATAATATCTGTTATTATTATTAATTATTTGTTAGATAACTGAAACTGTTCGATTATTCATAACATTTCTATCCCTATTTCTTTCAATAATAATGGAAACTTTAAAATTCGATTACATGATTTTTAGAAATGCAATTTTAGCTTTTCTATTCTATTCTCTTCTATTCTATTTACTCTATACTTTTTTATTCAACTTATTTACAAATCCATGTTGATTTTATTGCTCAAAGAAACAATTTCATGGCTAATTATAATATTGTAAATATATGAACCCAGAGCTAAACAAATATTTATTAAGAACTTTAGGTGCATACATATATGCATATTCCCATAATTAAATTGAGTAAATAAACTTATTTATTTAAAGCAAATAAACTGAATAAAAGATTTAATGTACTGAAGATAAATATTAATGTACAATTAAAAAAAAATATTTATCTATTATTTTCATATTTTATTTAAAGTTGAACGTTAAAGTTTAAATGATATTAACTAAATTTATTTATTCACTCAACTCTTTATACTTTCTAATTACAGTGACTTTGTAAATTCGTTCCTTCCCCTGCATTAAAATGTTGCAACATGCAGTGGCGTACATATTATTGCTCACTTTTCAACAGAGCTTAATCAGCTCAACACCCACCGGTACAAATTTACTACAGCTGCAGAGCAGTAACTTGAATAGTAATACTAATAATAATAGCAACATTAATATAAACTTAAGTCCAAGTAACAGTAATAACGCCATAAGCCTCAATACTGGCAGCATAAGTAATAATCTGCTACCAAACAATGGCAATCCCCCAACGAATATAACCAGTATCAATACCAGCAACATTCCAGGCAGCACAAATAGTAACATTGAATTAACGGGCACGGTAAACAATGCGAATGCAAATATTACAAATAGCAACATAGTAACATTGCCAAAGGAGAAGTTGTATGATAAATGCACCGGACCTGGTGATCCGGGTCCATGTAAGCAATATATCTATAAATGGCGTTATGAACCCTTAACGAATGAATGCACGACTTTCATTTGGGGTGGCTGTGAGGGCAATCCACAAAATCGCTTCAACACGGAAGCAGAATGTCTTTTTCATTGCATTGGCGCGCCACGTAAGTGTTTACATTTTTAATTTTATTTACAATTTTAACATTTTTTCTTTATTTTTCCATTTACATTTCCATTTTTACTGTGTTTTCTTTACTTTTCATTAATTAATTTGCTTTCTTAATAACGCAGACACACTGCCACCATTTTTGCAAACAACGACACGAGAGCCAAGTACAACTGAATCGCCAGTGTTAGTGCCAGTATATACTGGTGCACCCACTTACCATGGAGATTCGGATACAAGTCCAGTGCCGTTCGAACAACGTGGACCTGAACTGACGTTTGCTGAAACAGGTCAGGAAAAAACATTCGTTTTTGCCAAAAATAATACTTTTATCCAAATGGATGGCGACATTATACAAACATTTCAATTAAGGTGAGTCAATGCCGAAGTAAATATGCAAAAAACTGATTAACTTATGCCGGTGACTTGCCAAAGGATTTCGACGTATTTCATTCCGTCAATTTGGTACCGTTTTAATGCATCCACTTATTTCAATTCTTTCTCATGCTGTCCTTTCAATTTGCAAAATGCACGTGAGGTGGCATATCAATTTACGTATGTAAAAAAGCAAACACCTTTGTACAATAGTTCCTTCCTTTCAAGGTGTACTGCTTAAGAAATCGAGAAAATTTAAATAAGATTTTCCCATTAAATCGACTTCAAAATGTTTGAAAAATGAATTTTTACTTGTAATATAATATTGATGAAGCTCTAGGAGTAAACATGTAGCTTTAGTTAAATTTATAAAATTTTAAAAAAAATTTTCCCACTTTCATCTCTTTTTCTATTCCAAGATAGATTTCTTGTTATAGGATAAAAATTTTTATTTAAAATTATTTATTTATTATATATTTTTATATATTATATATTATTTAATCATTAATTCTGAATACGTTTTATTTTATCGACACCCTTTTATATTTTCACCAGGCTTAGGTCATTTATTTAACACTTAAAAATTATAAAAAATTAAACTTATTAATTTATGTTAAAATTTTTTTTTTATTAAATTTTTAAAAACTAACTATATTACAAAAATTTTCTAAAAACAAAAAAACAATCTGTATTATAAATATTTTCTAAAAATATAATAAAAAAAATAAAATTAACAAAAATTAATAAGTGTAATTTTTTTATAATTTCTGCGTTAAATAAACGACCCAAACCCGATGAAAATCAAAAAAATTATTTATAAATATGTATATGTATAATATAATTAAAACATAGTTATAATATTTACTACATTTTTTATTGTCGCCGATTACTCTACTTCTCTACTTCTTCCTAAGGGCAAGTTGGTTTAATATTTAAATAATGAATAAATAATTCATATATATAAAATTATTATATAAATATAATAATATAGTAGTTAAGATATAATAAATATAAAAATTATTAATAAAATTATAGTCAATTCAATAATCATACAATATAATACATCATTATTTAAATAATGACCATTATATATTGTGCTATTTCAACCTACACATATGGTAATGCTTAGGAATTTAGCAGTTAGAAATAATTTTTAAATAACTCATAATTTTATTTTAATTTATTTTGTTATAAAATTTTATAATTTTATTATGTAGAATTTTTATTACTACTAAGTTTCTAAGCAATATGTATAGGTAAAAATTCGAGAATCAAAAAACCTCCAAACGTCCTCTTTATTAATTTATAATTTTTTTTATATATCTCTATCAGATTATTAAACTTTATAAAAATAGGATACTTTTTTTAAAACTAAACCCTAACTTTAAATCAGATTCGTTTATCCTTCTAACTAAACTCTACTTCAAATCAGATCCAATTGTATTTCTACTTATAAAATATTTAACATTTATATATCATTTATTTCCCATCCCTTAAAGCTAAATTGCTCAATTTTAGAAGTACTTGCATATGAGATATATTCATGTTTGCAAGACAAGCTCACTAATGTTTTCAATTTTCTTTAATACAGACTTTGCCGTGAAATTTCATTTCAATTTCGTACACGTCTACCGCACGGACTGCTTGTCTATCATAATGTAAAAAATCCAGATCGAATTGATTTGGATCCATATGCATTGTATGTTATCGTTGAGAAAGGTCAACTAAAGGTGGTGCATGTATTTGGAAAACATTCAACAAGTGTAACTGTAGGTGAAAGCTTAAACCGAGATGAATGGCATAGTGTAATGGTAAGTTCACTGTAGTTGAAGGTATCAACATCAAAAATCTTAATTAATTAAAATTTTGGAACACAATTTAATTTGGATTCGTAAAGTACTAACAACAACTGTTGTTGATGTACTGTCAGTTGGAGGTGGAGCACTAAACAAACATATATATAGAATCAATGCATGATTTATTACCCCTCAATGCATGGCAGTCTCGTCAGTAGTACCGCCACCACAACCACTTTGAGCAATCATCATCAATAATGTTTGATATGGTAGTAGATTTTTCATGATTTTCCTTGCCTTTCATTTAATCTTTTTACGTGTATTGTTACTTTTTTCCAAATAAAATTCTATTATACGTGCATCGTAGAAATGCTCCCGAATCGAAGTGGTCACTAAAACGCTTCTACAAAAAGGCAAATGTTCATATCAGCACGGATGTGTCTGTCTGTTCATTTCATTTTTGTGTGCACTCTGCACAGACATTAATCTACGAATTTGCGCATACAGTTTCAGAGTCATATCAAACTTTATCCTTATGCTTTGTAAGAGCATTTGAATCTATTTCTCTATAGTTGTGAGGGCGAATGTACGGTAACGCTATGTCAGAAATCCTTATGAACTTTTGTCATTGCATTTAATTTATTTTCAAATTTCAAACATTTGATTTGTTTTTACTGTGGGTACTGCGAAAATTTATCACTACTATACACTTACACACGCACATCCCTAATACTTCTTTGGTAACTACACAAAATCATTTATATACTGTAGTATACACAAGTACATGTATATAACAATTTTTATATACTTATATACACAGGTACGCATTGATGTCCATGGTGCAAGATTAATTGCACGTGTCGACAATAGTAAGGAGGAAGTCTATTTACAGGGTTTAAATCATGACACAAACTATGGTGTATCAACTAATCTGCCATCTGTGGTATTGGTGGGAGGTAAGTAACTACTTTCTTATTTTCACTGATACATGTGCTAAATTTAAAAAACATTTAATTTAAAATTTTAGACAAATTTTAAGAAAATAGAATAATATAGAAATAAAAATATAAATTTATAAAAAAATATTAAAAGTATGAACTCTAAAATGTTACTCATACGCAATGAGGTCTTCTTAAAAATTCACTTACCGCATAGCATAAACTGCATACACCGTTTGAAATATCTAAGCAACCATCTTATGATTTAAGTTATATTAACATAGAGTTTTTCTCCTTTTTTTATTTTTGTTTATTTTTTTTATATATATTATATTTATTTTGTTTTTATTACATTTAATATGAAAGAATTTTTATATATATTACTGTATATATAGTATATATAGTATATATATATATAGTATATGTATGTAAACAGTGAAGTATGCACTCAAACGAGTTTGCATGCAGAGGGCTAGCGGCGAGTATTGAGTACAAGAGAAGAGTAGTCGTCGATAAGCTGGTGAACTTGCAAGAGGTTAAGCGGACGTCTTTGCAAGAAGTTAAGCCGATGTTATATGTCAGTGGTATATATTTTTCGATTTAAATTGATTAAAATTTCATTGAAAAGTTTTGATATATTAATAAATAATTTCTAATTTTGTAAGCTTTGTGAAACTAGCTTTTGATATATTAATAAATAATTTCTAATTTTGTAAGCTTTGTGAAACCAGCTTTTGATATATTAATAAATAATTTTCTACATATATATAGTATATATAAATATATAGTATATATATATATATATATAGTATTATATAGTATATATAGTATATAGTATATAAAGTTTAGAATTTTTAATATTTTAACATTTTTTCATATATTAATTTAATAAATCAAAAGCTTGAAAATTTAGATGTATAAAAAATATTTTCTCTCAAATAAATTGATTGCACCATGAGATGTGAGGCAAGTGGCACCCCGTTTTGGAATCATACATTGTACACGTCGAATTTTAGTCATGCTTAGCGTTATCAATTAACGGTAACTGTATAACTATATAATACCATCATAAAGAGCATGTCGATCGACTTAAATCCAAATATAACAATTCTAGCATTATTTAGACCCATTATTGCTAAAGATGATTTCTTCACGATATATAGAGTCGCTCACGAAAATCTCTTTATACCTAATATATTATATTTGTGTGTTTCAAATGACTAAGTTGTTTAAGTTCTTGGATGAACTGAATTTAAAATGTCATAAAAGAGTCACAAGATAAAAAAAGAACTTGATTATAGGTAAAATCTGATTGTTTTGAATTTTTATCCATATTCTGGTTAGCAAAATCGATTTTTTCAGCAATAAGCATCTAAGTTTTATAGATAAGATAAGATAGATAAAATGGAATTGATTACAAATTCTCATTGCACTACATTTTTATCCATACTTTGGTTTACAATGGTTTTATTTTCAGTAAAAAGCTTACGAATTTTCAAACACAGCTATTTGCTTTACTGTGAATAATTAGCGTTATGGGTCGATTATGTAGATCAAAAACTTCACATAACATATTAAACATTAACCAAATAGATTCATTAGCTTCGTATAGAATATTAACAAGTAATTTGAACAGTGTAATTGACTATCTTTTCATAGTGATTTGACTAGTAATACTGAACTATAATCCAATTTTAATAAGAATTTAAAAATAAAAGCCATCATGAAATTTAGTACGTTTTTGATGAAGCTGTATATATTTAATATTTCACTTATATATTCCTTATTATTATCTTTTATACATTTTTATTTATTCTATATTTTATTGTATTTATTATGATGTTCCTATACATTATTAGAACATCAATTAATAAATACATACGACTAATTAATTTGAAGATACAGAGTTTCTCTAATTTATATTCCACAATAAAAAATTTTTCAATCATTAGTAATTGCAATTAAGTTCCTTTATAACAGGTTTTAGCTCAAGTCCAATACAAACACGTCTAGCATAAAATATTTATGTACCAGTTCCTTTGGTGACCGGCAACAGCAGTGCTTATAATCCAAATTCGTATACGACTTAACATCAGCTTAAAAGTGTCGATGTCCGATATAAGTCGACAATAGACAATAGACAATAGATCCAACTCATCCGACATGTAAATATGTATAAAAATATTTTTAGAAAAACATATGACGATCCCTTAGTTGATGTTCTACAACAGATACATGGTTTCTAGGAAACTCAAAATGGTTTGATCTTAGATGTGCAATTGCTTCAATGGTTGGAGAATTGTTCACCCAATATATACAGATCATTGCAACTAATAAGAGAGATAACTGAAAAAATTTATGGATGAATTCCAAAATTGCAAAAATTAATTCCATTATGTGCGCCTAAAATTTGTTTGATTCTTCTAAAACAAAGAAATAAATAAAAATTGATAATTATGTATGGATTTATATTATGTATATATTTCGTAATAAAACAAAGAAACGGAATTGTATTAAATATCATTACCTATTCCATTATGTGACGTTAGTACTATGTTATACTCACCAGAAAGTTGATGTAGTCTTCTATTTGTTATTATGCAGCACAGAACAAACATTCACTAGATATACTAAGTAAAAAGACGGTTCCAAGCGTAACATTTGTTTGGTAGATTCTGAACTTCATTTAAACAAAGTATAATATTGCAATAACAACTTTACTTCCTATAATCGTTACAACTGTTTATTAGTAATATTTATACATACGCTAAATTTAAAAGCTACATACGTTCTTCAAAAAATTTTAAACACTACTTAAATTTTTTTAAACAAATTTAATTACAATATAAAAGTCATGCAGATACGTTTTTTTAAATATTAACTAGCTTACTAAGTTATGAAATTTATAAAACTTGTTTCTATTTATAAAAAATATGGTTCATACTTAAGAAAACTAACATACATAATATTTTTTAGCTAGATTTTTATATAGCTAAAAAGTCTTTTTGAATGCATGTTCTTCTGAATTTTTCAAAAAGTTTTGGGAGTCTTACATCCAACCATTTATTTCTTGTGTGAGATGTTGTAGAGTGAATTGATGAATAGCGTACCCTTATACATAAGAATGGACTTAAAAAAGCCAAACTTACGATACAACCGGAACTTTTTCCAGTACCAGTAAACACGATTTGGAGGGGCTCTGTTAGAGCAGGCCCAAACTGGCTTTATGTATCTCTAATAGTCCAATGTTCGGTATGGATCCATATTATTTTAGATATTTTTTCCTTATTTTTTTGGATCAGCTTTTGATATTCCAAAATTAGAATATCAATTCTAATGTTTTATTTTTTGCGATATGTAATGCAATCTAATATATAAGTTAGTGTGAGACTTGAACTCACTAAAGTCACCTCAAAATCCAAAAATTAGCTCTTTTGGGATCACCTATTTGATATTTTGTCAAGAGAACATCCCGAGCACAAAGTTCAAACATCTGTTTTTTATTGTTATCTATTCTATTGACTCCATTTTGTCGTCTGAATATTTTGAATTGGCAGAATCAAATGAAACCAATCTGTTACTCAAATAATACATCAACTTCTTCTCTTTCCTCATTAAGTATCAAATGTAGTGAACTCATTATAAGTCAAAAGATGGGGAATAATATACCCTTTTTGACATATTTCTTAATACCCATATTTGCATCAATAGCATTAATATGATTCATCGACTGATGCGCGACCAGATGCTCACACCTTTAAGAACTAACTAGTTCCATTTATATTTATATAGATGACACATGCAGTTCAACAAAATATATATGGACTATAAACTAATTAAATATGAAATCGACCATTTGGAACAGCGTTGTACGGTCAGCCAAATAAATTAATAAAAATTTTGTTGTTATTTCTTCATTACTGTTCGAACACTTCTATTTATATAAAGTTTTCTTAAAAATTAAAGCATCTTATGTTAAGCTATAAATGTACTCAAATATATAACATACTTAAAACTGTTAACATTGTTTTAGAAAATCTAAAAAAATACTTTGATTCCAGTAAAATATAGTATAGTATTTTATTTTAAACTATTGTATTTCATATGTGTTTTTAACACATATACATAGAATTTGCTACACATATATAAAAATATTTTCTTTAATATTTTTCTAAAATGTTTTAATGTGATCTTAGCGTGTTTCATATTTTCATTCAATTTGTATTCTTCGAGGTTTTGCAATACATGTGGCACGCTATGATTGCATTAGCAGTTCAATCTCGATGTATAGTATCTATAGAAGTGCTGCATAGTTGTTGTTGCCGTTCAAAAATTGCTGCTGATGCTGCAATTGTTATTTAACCAAAACTTCCGAACTTAAGCATTATTGCGTATGTGTACGCGTATCAAATGCAAAATGAATTTCAATTTAGGTGTCAATTCTGTACCGACTTCTACTCATTTTCCATTGAATTTTGCACCTTTGTGTCAGGACTTGCTCGCAGATGTGTTGTAGGTGTGCTTTCATATTTGTGGGTGAATTGAATGCATTCTTTGTGCATGCGTTTGAAAATGTTTGTCCATAAATTCGAATGCAATTCAATTTTCTCTGAAATATATCAATACTCGAACGGAATATTTAAAAAATAACTTTTCAGTTTGCCGAATAGAAAACTTTATGAGAAGTTGCTTATATTTTCTGAAAAGTCCTTGTAGGTGATTGATATTTTCAAATTTGTTAGTAAAGAATAGCAGTTTATTTTCCTATATTACTGTAAATTGAATTCTCTTTGTACAAAATATTTTAAAAAATATTGCTTTATTAAGGGCTAACTTTATATTGTCGACCTAAACAGGCATACATATTCTAAGTATTATTTTAAAAATATCAAATATTATAAAAAATATTAAAAGAGATAATAATTAAAATTTATAATTAAATTAAAATTCAATTTAAATATATTTGTAAAAAAAAAATGATATTTGTATATAAAATGATAAAAACACCTTAATTAATTTCCATTTTGTTTTGTCATGCAGTGCGTATGAGTAACATTTTATGTTGCTGTCTTAAAACAAAATAATTCGTCTGAAATTGTTTATTTAATGAATATAAATTATTTTTACTTTGCTTACCTTTATTCATATGAGATATATTTTTAATTTATTTTACTTTTATTTTCTATCTTTCTATTCTATTTAAAATTTAATTAATCTTCATTATGGCGGTCATTTCATTCTAATGTCACATAAAACAACAACTACTGCAACAAAAACAATGAACCTGTTACAAACAAACAATACATGGTTAAATTTTTGAAATTTATTCAACAACAAAAAATAAATAAAAATATAAAATAACAAATTTCTTAAACAATAAAATCCCATGATGACACCATAATGTACCGCACCACATTCGAAAAATGTTTGCATTGTTATTTGTGTACTAACAAAAGGACTGTCCTCTGAGGAAAAACTGCATGGCGTCAAGTACATAATCGAATCATTTGTTGGTTGTATACGCAATGTTGTGCTCCGCTCGGGTAAAGCAGCATCCGATTTGCTGCCCATAACACCACTGGTGGCCACAAAGCATGAAAATGTAAACGAGGGCTGTTCCGATAAATGTTATTCAAGACATAATTTGTGTTTTGTTGGTTCAAGATGTATTAATCACTACTCTGGCATATCGTGCGACTGTTTCGGTACACACTATGAGGGCGAGCACTGCGATATTTACAGTAAGTATTTAATATTGAGTACTTAAAATAAAATGAAACAATATATTAATATAAATAAAATATATCAGTAATATATTCTTATATGAATTTGAAATATTAGATAGAAATGCAGAGCTTTACAACAAGTTTAGGGCTTATATTTTAATATGCCCTAACTATATTAATTATAAAATTTGAGTTATGATTGTGTTTATTTATTTATTTACCAATTTGTTTAATTTAGAATTGCATTTTCTCAAATCAAATATAATACATTTTTCATCAGGAAGATATGCTGTGCTTCAAAGCAGAGTTTAGAATCGGAATTTTTTCCGTTCCGGTTTTTGTTACGGTTCAAAACAAAAAAAATCGGTCTGTTCCGATTTTCGTTCCGACAAAAATATCGGTTTTTTCGGTATTCATTTTTTACTTCGGTTCCGGTTCTAAGATCCTATTTTTTCCTGTTTCGATTTTCGTTCCGTTTCAAAACAAGAAAAAAAATATATCGGTTCGATTCCGATTTTTACTCCGACAAAAATATTGGTTTTTTTTCAGTTTTTGATTGGATTCCGGTTCGAAACATTGCTTTAAAGTGTACTTTTATAAAATCATCTAACTTTTTTATTATCAGAGTTCAACAGAGCTCTCATTAGAGTATATCATCCAAATATTCACAAACGCTATTGACACTAACTCTCATTTGATCAAGCAAAGAAGTGAAAAAAATGTGATTTGTTGATTTTATTAAAAGTCTTAAAGTCTGCCTGAAAATCACTAGATTTATTTAATTGATTAAAAAAAACAAGAATTTTTAGTTAGTTAGTTGTGTTGAAGGGAGGAACGAGTCCTCCCCAATTAGCTAAAAAACCGTTTTGAATCCACAAATCTCGTAATAGTGGGTAGTAGAGGAAGTCAAGCTAGAACCAGTCATAAGCATTTATAAAAGCAAGAATCTGGCCAATGCTAATGCCGAGTTTGTTGAAGAAAAGGGTTGTCAGAAATTTAAGCTTAGTTCTGGCCAAACTTGGACATAGACACATCAGGTGTTCTAGTGTCCTTTCTTTGAGAGCTGTAGACATGCATTGCAAGAGATATCACAGAGTAGGCCAAGTCTAACTCCATGTTGTCCTATGGTCCAATGCCTAGTAAAGACAGATATTAACCTAGATAACTCTGATTTGCTTCTGTGTATTAGGTCAGACGTTCTGCATTTAATATAGATTGGCCATGTAGCCCTGACCTGACTGCTAAGGTGCCAAGGGTCCACTCACTATTTGCCTGTCGCAAAAAATGGTCATAAATCAGCCTAAGACCGTAGCTGACAGGGGTAGAGATTGAAATAGGGTCATGCCCCACAATATTAAAATGCCCGGAAACCCAAACTACTGTTACCTTGGACCTCTCACTTAGTGCGTTGATAAATTCCTTACATTTTTGCACTAATTTGAATGACATACAGATAAGGCTTTAATAGTTGCCTCGTTGGCAGTTGGAATGTAAACTTCTTTTCCGTAAAAGTTCATGTTTAAAGCAAGAGCACGCGTTTTAAGGATGGTGAAAATTTTTGCCTGATATATTGAGGTGGAATCTAAAAGATGGTATGATTTACTAATCATTAGTTCCGTAGAAAATAGCCCTGCTCCAATGCTTTTATCCATCTTAGAACCGTTGGTATAGATTGCTGTCTTTCCTTAAGAATTTTTAGCTCGATTAAAAATCAAATTTTCTCATTTCAAAATATTTTTACTATGTCTTTCTTTTCTATTTGCGATAGAATTTCTACCAGAAGATAAAAAAATTTTGTAATTTTAATTCCAATGTATTATTTTAACACATCAACATATTTTAATATTTATTTGTTTTCAAATTTTCCATATCCATTTCTATTTACGAAAAATCGTATAAATCAGTTATTTAGATTCGATTAATTGATAAGGCTTCACTAAAATTTATCCGAAAATGTATTTTTGTGCATTTAAATTTAATTGTCAATTTCGTTGCGTTATCGAACACATTCGACCAATTTAACCATTCATTTTTATTGCATTAATGCAAGCCAGCAAATGTACTGGACAAAAAAAAAAGAATTTACCAAATTTGCCAGTCGTAAAAGCTTGACATGCAATATATTTGATATTAGACAGTACAATAAACCTCTCCGCCCATTACTCTACTGAAATTGCATATGTTTATTTAAGTCATTATGCATTTAAATACATACAAACCCATGGTATGTATAATGAAAACGTAACGGGTATTTGTAAAATTTACTGCGGCATTTTGTTTGAAAATTATGTCCAATTCACGCTTTAAATTTGAAATCTAAAATGAAATTTGACACAAGCCAATAAAAGTAACACAAACCAGAACGAAGCAATTATCAAATTTCTATATTCAACAAAATGAAAAATATTGCTCAAACGATTTCATTCACAAACAAATTCATAAAATCTAACTCGCAAAGTCAAATACGAAAATGAATTGACAATGCATTTATACTCGTAAGTAATTACATACAATTTTATAAAATCATATAACTATAACTGCATATATGCAGCAGCTACACTGTAATGTATATATTTCATCTGAGCATGGAAGTATACAGATATATAGTTATATATATATTATCCGCTTATCGCAATTACAGGCACAAATTGCTGAAAATTTTACGCATTTTTGACACGACATACACGACCAACAAAACAAATGCAGAAATGCTGCGCTGGTAACAACATTAGACAGGAAACATCACTATTAAGCGGAAGTGGTTGTTGCATACACGAACATATACTTAGACAAACAAACGGGACATCATCATCATCATCAAAAAGACACTTGCGCCAGTCACTACACTACGCCATGTGCTAGTGACTATGTCGAAGGATTTCAATTTTGAACTGCAGTTGGAATAAATGCAGAAGCAGCAACATTTTTGCATCGCCACCCACCCACACAGGAGCTACAAGGCTATTGTCCATATTTCCATACTCATAGCACATGTCCTCGTTTGCACCATTTTGTGCATAATTGTTCCTTTTTACTATTTTAATTTTTTCGGACATTAAATTTGCTATGTGAATCAACGGGAAAATCTCATGTTGACGTGCGTCGCCGGCAGGACGAAAATGGTTCCTTTTTTATACTTGAATTTTGTGCATTTTTTTCAAATATATTTCACTTAAATTTATTTATTTATATACACTTTACATGCCGGTGTTGTGAGTTTCCATTTGTGCATGAACATTCAATTAAACTCCATTTACTAACGTGTTAATTTTCAATTAAAGGGGAAATGTATGAGAATGCATTAAAATTTGATTTCCATTTAATAAATAGTTTAAAATTTTAACAAAAAGCTGAAACTGGAAATATTTAAAATAATAGAAGTACGTACAATGCGAATTTTAACTTTAATAGTTAAAAGCAGACTACCTGCTGCTCAAAAAGTATCCGGATTTTGTTGTTTCTTAACTACTCCTTAAGTAATAGAACTTTTTCAAAAATTATGTTGGTATACCTTTCTTGACATATGGTACAAATTTGAGCGCCATCTATTAATTAGTTTGTTCACAGTAAATATTACAGCTATTTTACATGATTTGACAAAAATGTCGTTTGATACGATAGGATTAAAGGGTTAAATAATTTTAACAGTTATGAATTTCATGATTTTTATAAACTTATTATTAAAAAAGAAAAATCGTGTTTCCCTTATTTTTTCTTAATATAAAAGGATCGATTTTTTTAATATATAGATCAATATCATTATGTATAAAAAAAATATTTATAGGAAACATTTAATTTATACAATTAAATATAATATCTAAAAAATTATGTATAATATTTTATTAAATTGGAGTTCCGAATTTACTTTTAAGGTGAAAATGTCTAGGTTGTTAAACGTAAATGTGTATTTTTGATATAATCAACTGAAAATAAGGAATGGCCTTTAACAACATAAATAATTAATATGATAAAATAAATAAAATACTAATAAAAATATTAAAAAGATAAATAGACAGAAATTGCACAAAGTCAGCCTCCGAGCACAAAGTCAGGACCTCAACATTGATCCCATCAAAAAATTCATAAAAAATAGAGTCCTGAAATTATTTGCGAAAACTGACAGACTTACCCACACCGTGTTAACAAATCTCAGAATGATTACAGGCTCCTCGGAGAGGTATACAGATCTGAGATCAATTATTGCTTAGTCTGATGAAGTGATAAACAATAATACAGTCAAGGCATAAAGAGTGGTTTTGAAAATACCTCGAGTTAAGAAAGAGTGAAAGTGTTTAAGTGCACTGGCTCAAATAGCTACAACATAATAATATATAAATAAATAATAAATATTTTTTTATTTTTTGGAAATATATCGTAATAAGTCGACAATAAATTCTTTTTTACTACTTGCCATGTAAAGTACAGATCAACCTGTTTTTATGCGATCTTTTTTGTGCAATTTTTTGTGTCATTTTCTTTGTGCGCCTTTTTGGTGCGATTTTTTGTGCGATATTTTTGTACGATATTTTTATGCGGTCCCTCTCCATTGCACAAAAACAGATTTGACTGTATTGCTCATATATAATCCTATTGTACTCACGTCTACAATAATGTCAATAATATAACGATTATACCTAATATAATATTAATAGTTTTAAAAACAAAATATTTTTTAATTTTAATTTTTTTAATGTTTGACACATTATTATACAATAAATCCAAAATTATAAAAAAAGAGAAAATAATTAACAAAAAATAATAAATTTATATATATTAATTTTACATAAAAAACACGAATTTATTAATTTTTTGGTTAAATTATTCGTTTTGGTTTAGTATAACCCCACAAAAATATCACAATGAAGGATATGTATAAAGTTTCATCGTTGATGCATTTACAATATTTGCAACATCGCCAAAGGCTCAGAAATGTGGTACCTCGAGTAGATACAAGCTCGCCAAAGGTGCGTTTAACAAACATAAGAGAAGCTTCCAATTTAATAGGAATGAAAGAAGCACTGGCAAATAATATAAAAATGATAAAGCAAATTATAACAATTACGGCTGATCCTGATTTGAGAACATTTAATCAGCGTAAAATACCTATTATGAATAATCGTGAACATATTGATATGAAACTTAAGATGCTCGACAAGGAGAATTACAAATTTGGTTGCAGATTATTAAATGCAAAACCCTTCGTTGAAACAAGACATTATGGTAGATTTAAATATGCGGATAAACCGAAAGATACAAGCAATCAAATCAAAATACCAGAAAGAATTTTTAATGCTTACGCTAAAATAGTATCTGAAAAAAGTTTGCCTCTTTTGAAACACCTTTTAAGGCCCATCATATATTTTGATTTAGCAGTAGAAGATATAAGTGAACAAAGTCCCACACCATTAGGCCGTGTGAAAATTCAACTATGCACTGAAGCTTGTCCTTCTGTGGTTCTTCAATTTGTGCGTATTTTTGCTCATCATAAATCCAAGGCAATTAAATTTTTACGTATATTTTCAACATTGTGGGTTGAAGGTGAAATGAAAGTAGAAAATGCACCATCAAAACTAGAAAAAAGTAAATTGCTTTTTAATAACGATATTATCGATCACCAAACTACTGAAGGTGTATTGTCTTTTTCAAAAAAAATATATAAACGTTTCCAAAATAATTTACTCAATTTTGCTATCAGTTTTCGAGAAATTTCCGCTGACAAATGTGATCGCATGGCCATTGGCGTTGTTATACAGGGCATGCCCGCAATAAAAGGTCTACAGGCTTTCGGTACAACGCATGGAAGCACTCGAAGTACACCTGTGATTTTAAATTGTGGGGTTGAATAGGGAATTACTGATAAATAGAGATTATACTAAATACGCAAAGTTGAGAGTTAAGCACAAATTTTTTTCTATTTTGGAAAAACATTTTGAACTTAATTTTTGAAACTTTGTGTATTTAGTATTTTTTCATAGTTTTTTCCACACGAGTAGCTAAATTCTCTGTTCATTCAAATTTTTTGTGAAATACTACTAGTTTTTTATATATTTAGTTGGGGTGTTTAAAATTTTTTGTTATTGTCCTACACTATATCAAATCATTTAGATTTTTTAATTTCAAATAATAAATTTGGGGTGTTTTTTGGCTCATTTTTATTATATTTAAAAAATTTTGTGGTGTTTAAATTTATTATCAAACTTTTAAGTACTTTTTTTAAATAAATTTAAATTATTTATTTAAAGTATTTGCTACTCTTTTCGTATAATATTCTATCCAAAAAAAAAGTTATAATAAAATTAATTATCTTGCTCGCAAATCTATAATAATATGATACAATAATAATTTATATTAAATAATTAATTAACATTATATAATAATAGATAATATATTTATTTAATAATATATAATATATTTATATAATAAATTAAAATATATTTGTATAATAATACATAATACAGTCACAATAATCCAACACTCAGTATCCTAAAAATACAGCGAAATTTGATAAACACAGGCATATACAAAGACATCAGATCCATCATATTATAAAGCCCCGTAAAACCCCGTATTTAGTGTGACTTAAAACTGTCCACAGATAAAATAGAGTAAAGGAGCTGATTCACCAACTCAGACATCTGAATATCTGATTATCAATACAGAAAGCTTCGATATAATTTTAAGACAGGTTTCGAAAAGTAGTGAACTATAATAACAAAAATTCCTTTTATATTAACTTAATTAATTTTTGGCTGACCATATAGCTGTTTTGAGTATTACCAAATACCCATCATCAGCGATCTTAGAATTATTTCTAATATTTAATTATTTGTAAATAATTTCTTGTGACTGCAAGCACAAAGGGTTGAACTCATGCTCTGCCAAATTTGAAATTCAGGGTCAGTGTTCGTTAGCCAACTGAACCGAAGCTGTACTTGTTACTGTACTTTGTTAATTTGCTGTTTAATTTAATTATAAAAAAAAATGAGACTAGATTAGAACAACGTAATATTATATACAAGTTAATAAAATATCATAATTTTGTAACATTATTATTTGTGTAAAGACTTTTATTTTGTATTACATAAATTTTCATATTAATCATTAATGGATTATATTATGTTATTTGAATATTTTTTAAAGCGATGAAATCAAAAAATATTCAAATAGCACAAAACAATCGCAATAATTTTAAATGTATCCACATTTAGTAACAATGATATTTTTTTTCATAACTCCATTTTTGGAACCTATTTCCTTAATGACATCCAAAAATCTCAAACCTTTTTTAACCAAACCAAAAGGTACGCGGTAGCCATTTAAAACTTTCAACGGTTTAAAACTAATCGTAAAATTTATAAATCCAGGTGGAAACCCATCCAAAAAACATTTAGCAAAAGATAAAACACCAGGTCCAACTCCATGATTAATGCAATACTTTTGATGCATATAACCTGGTTTGGATAAAATGTCGTTATTCGATTTTATTTCAGCTTCAAACCAAAGGTGTGGAAATGTACGCAGAAAGCTTATCTGTTCAAATGAATTATATGTACACATACGAACAAACTGCAATACAATTTCAGGACAAGCTTCAGTAAAAAGTTCTATAACTATACGTCCAATTGGTCGTACATTCTGCATGTATAGATCGAAGAAAATGTTTGGACGTAACAATTTTTTCAACAATGTTTCATCATATGGCCAAATAAAGGATCTGTATTTAGTAATGATGTCGTTATGTACATTTGGTATTATTTCCTTTTTTTTTGAATTGAAACGTTCAATGTTAACCAAGGTTGATCTTATTTCGGCAGATGATTTAGCTTTCAATAATCTACAACCAAGTTTATAGTTTTCATGCTCAATTTCGCGCAATTTCATATACGAGTGCTTTAGATGAGTCTTTGAAAATCTTGCATCTTTACGGGGGTTAAAAGCTTCTACATACGTTGGTGCCGAAAGTATCCGTTGCACCATTTTCGTATTCTCACGACGTATATCATTTGCTCTCTCAACGTCTACACGCAACTTTTTAGAATTAAGTACTGCCGCTACTCTGACTTTATTTGGACGATTATCGATTAAACTGAGTTGTTTCTGTCTAAGTTTATTCTTTTCGAACATCGAACGGTTATAATCCCAACCCATTTTGGAATATTGGAGGTGCTTTCAATTAAAAATAAAACAAATAATTTCGACACCTTTAAGTTAATAAACTTGAAAAATTTTCAATAAAAGAAACAATTGCGTAAATTACTCCAGTTTGATTAAATATATAATTTAGATATAAAAAATTATATTCAATTACATATATTTTTTTACAAATAAAACGTCAAAAATTTCTTTGGTAAATTGAAAATAACTTTTGAAAATTATAACGAATATAAAATAACAACGGAAGAAGCTAGTTTTGATTTTGCTCCAACTTACATAGAGCATTTTGTTATAAATCAATTATTTACTATTTGTACATTATATACTCCAAATTATTTTTTGAGGTACCCTTAGTTTAAGAAATGTTAAGTAGTTGTTTCTTTTTTGAGCAATGAAATTTTCTTTATTGTGGCCTGACACTGTCACGATAGAATACAGCTCCTTTTCTGTTGGCTAATTTTGATCGCTTTTCTTTGATTTTTTTTTTGTTTATACGATCCAATAGTGTGGAGTAGACCGTTGAATTAATCTTTACACCAAACTGAAGCAGTTCGATAAAAAGAACATAACATTGTTTGTCGTCAATCTAGGCTCTGAAGTCGTATGTGGATAGTCCATCATCGATTGCATTAGAAGTTCTCATATGAAATCCACAGTAAGAATTTAAAAATAATTCGAATTCAATTTTAAAACCGTTTCACTGTGAGTCAGAAAATCAAATTCCTTGTTTCTAATTGAAATGGTATCCAAATATCTATCATGTTTGAATTATTTCGGCATATTTTTGCAGCACAACTGCCTTCACAAAAAATTTAATCCGAAATATCACCGACTAACCATACAGCTCCATCGAATATTATCAAATATCAATTATCAATGTTTTTGGAGTTATTTCTTATATTTAGTTATTTGTTATTTTTGGAGTTTCCAAGTACCAAGGTATAAATTCCTTCCCTGCCAAATTAAGGGCTCAGAGGCGGTGTTCATTATTCAACTGACCCAAAATCGTACTTGAGTTGAATGTTTCAACTTAGAATTTTATTAATTTACAGTGAAATTTGTTCATATTATAACAAATCACAAACTGTTTATATAATATAACAGAAATTTATATTATATTTCTAAATATTTATTGTTTGCTGGTTTATATTACAAAGAAATCATAAATCAGCTGTAGAATAATTGACATTTAATATAAATATAATTGCTTTTCTACCATGTACTGATGTCCTACCATTCGATCTGGAAGTTGAGTACCTTTTGTTTTCTTCTGGTTTAATTGTAAGTTATATTAATTAAACCAGATTAATATAATATTATTTAATAATAGCTGATTAATATTAATTAGTTATTAAGTTAATTAATTATTACAAAGTTTCTATATTTTTATTCAAAACTGATTCAACTATTAATCATTTTTTTATTTCATGAATGTTGAAAATCACAACAGTTTTTCTGATTTGTCTGATTTGTACATTTAAAATCCAATAAAATAATTTGAATTTGCGTTAACTGCGGTTATGACACGTGTATATCCAGGAGCACTTCAGATTTTAATTCAATTTTTTTTTTATGTTCAGAATATATTACTTTTTCTGTCATTTCATGTATATTTCTTTTGCACATATTACAGCTGCAACAATCATGACTTTACGTGGCGCAAGTTATGTTTCCTATAGGATTTACGATTGGAAGGATCGCGTACACTCGTCCACAACGCGCATCAGCCTTATGTTTCGCACACAATTTGATGATTCGGCACTGTTCTATGCCAGTGGTGAGTCTCTGAAGCATCAATTTATTGCCGCCTCAATTAAAAATCAATCGATTTATGTGGAAATGGATTTTGGCGATAACGTTTTGTCTACCGTACTAACTGACGAACTGACACGTAGTTATTGGCACAATTTAACCATTTACCATGAACATCGAACAGTGCGCATCATACTCGACCAGCAAATGAAAATACTCGAAATACCAGCAACGTCAAGTGCAAATTTACTTTTCGATCCGGAAATTTATTTTGGCGGTGGTCCAGATCTGAATAAAAAGAAAGGACTAGCTTCGCATAACAATTTTGTTGGAAGCCTAAAATACGTTTACTACAATGATGTGTCCATATTGTATGAACTGCAACGGGGCAATCCGAAAGTTCACTATCATGGTAAGTTGAATTCAGTAACGTTATGCACTAAAGTAAACAGTTTATGTTTAGCTCACATTGAATTTGCTCCATTTGTGTGTTTTAGTGTGTTAATGTGTTACTGCTTCTATGCCACTAATTTCCAACCTTTTTTTTCTTTACTCTCCTGAAATCGAAATCAATAAATTTTCAAATGAACTCAATTTCAATTAAATTCCAAATTTGTTGCTTACTACTTACCACAGTAAATATCAACAACAAATATCGGCAACAGCAACATAATTTATGCGTTGTAAATCTAACATATAGGTATACTAATGCACTACTTACACTCTTAAGCATATGCAATTAGAGTATGCACTTTAATATAATTTAATGCAAAACGTTATAAGTATGAGTGTACAATATGCCTTCGACAAACTAATAAATCTAATAAATTCAATAAATTCTACTTTATTAACAATGACGTAGCATATTTGACTCAATAATAATTTTAGGCAGCTACACACACACACACACACACACACACTTACGAATTCACACAAAAGCATCGAGGCATACTTTAATAATTCTAACTGCAAATATATTTCTCACTCCGGTTGTAGGTGTACTTGAAGCGGAATTTCAGGAGAATGAGGTGCATGTCATACCCATAACATATCCTTTTGCGACATCTCACATTTGGTGGCCCATAAATCACGCCGAAGAATTTAATATTAAATTCGATTTCCGCAGTAGTCGCACAGCGGCTGTGTTGGCTTATAGCGATGTGACAACATCGGCCGGAAATGGTTTCTGGGAGGTAAGTTTTTTATTTGCAGTTGTCATAGCACTAAAAGCAGTCATTCTATGTGGAATTCAGTTTATATTTGTCATGTGATTATGCCATATTCAGTGTGCAATGACTTCAAAAATATTATATGTAATATTGTTGATTTGAAAGAACTAACGATATATATTTATATGAATAAATATGACAAGACCTTTTGTATAAAAAATATTACAAAAATTGGCTAATATACTTTATAATGTATCATAATCTATTTCTTAAAAAAAATTTAAAATTTTTAACAACAAAATTGAGAGGTTTTTTTAAGCAATTTTAAACCCAAACGACACTTTTATTCGTCAATTATTATTTTGTTGCTAGCATTGTTATTGCTGCGTTGTTGACGTTTTGTTATTTCATTTTGCTCTTTCTTTCACATCGTATACATTTGAGTTGAGTTGAGTGATGACTGAATTAAGAAACGCAAGCCTCTTGCATTACGCACGATACAATGCAATATTAAAACCGAAATTAACAAAACAAATTTAATTAATTTTATTATTAATATTTTGCTCATTGTTTTACATTCGAGTTGAGTTGAGTGATGACTGAATTAAGAAATGCAAGTCTCTTGGAGTACTTGCGATGCAATATTAAAACCAAGTTTAATTAATCTTATTATTAATTAGTTTCTGTTTACGTTGATTGCATCTTGATATGTTGGTTCGCTACAGGTATACCTAATTAATTGCAATCCATATAATAGCTTATCTATATAATCCATATAATTTTTTACACATATATGAAATACTCAATATTGTTAATTCGTAGCTATTTTTAATTCAATTGTACTAATTTTAAAGTCTCACGTATTGAGCATTTTGCACCAATGTACTTTAATTTATAAAAATTCTAGGATTCTTTTCTAATATTTTATAAGATGTTTTCTGACATATAGAGAGTTTTGCACCAACTTCGGGAAGTTAAACCACAGAAGCTATTGTCGGAGAGGGGCAAAAAATCTTATGGAATGGGATCACAAAACGACTTAGGTCCTCTTAGGTCCTTCGATTCTCGGATGTTGTTATTGAGTTAAAGCTAAATTAGCTTCCATTCGTTATGTGTTTATAACTGTCAATCATCAATTTAATCTTTTCTTCATTTTATACTCTAAAAGACACTTTTATATATTAAGTAATTTATATTATTTATTAATATTATATTGGTCTTTAACGTCCGTTTTGACGAAAGTAACTAAATTCTTAATATAAAATATTGGCTTCGATAGAGAGATTTATATCGAACAGTAGTGAAATTGCAACAACAAAGGTTTTTTATTATTTTTAATTACTTGAATTTTTTGCTGGTCATACATCTGTTCCGAGTAATGCCAAGTACTCATCATCAATGATCTTGGAATTATTTCTTGTGTTTAATTATTTCCAAATAGTTTTGTGAGAGTGCAAGTACCAAGAGTTGAACTCGTATCTTGCCAAATTTAAAAGAGTTAGTAATCATTAGCCAACTGACCCAAAGCTGTGCTTGAATTGTATATTTGAGCTTGAAGTTTTGTTATTTATAAATATTATTATTTTTCCGGACACCTACAAAAGTGGTTAAATGGATTTTTTGGGTTACAGTATAGAAGTGCAGTAAAAACATTTATTTAATTTATACCGCATGTTTACTTAAATAGACGTATATAATAAAAAAAAATTAAAGATATTTAGCATAAAAAAGTTATTTCAACGAATCTGGATAATATTAAAATTTATCTTTGAATTTTTACTAAAATGAATAACCGTAACCATGTAAGAACATCATTTTTGAAAGCAATTTTTATTCCCAAGTAAATTAATCAACGTTGCTTTTGTTTTGGAAATGTCTGCTAAAACTTATTCCTTATCTAAAAGTCACTTGTTTAGCTCAAATGAAACGCACTTAGTTTATCTACTATCAATTAACAAACTACATTCTCTGGGTACTTTGAACTAAATTGATTCCAATTGTACTAAATTGGCATACTACTGTCAAAACTGCTAGTACTGGGCAATTGTATTTGTAAGATATTCATACTTTTAGTATGCAAATAATAATAAAATTACTGAAGACTCTTGACACAGTAAGGAAAACGGAAATTGTTTTTAACAAATTTCATTTGGCATTTCACCAACAATCATGGTCAATAAATGTGAAATCATTGTAAATTTAATTTGCTAAAATGAAGTCAGACGCACACAAATCTTCATCTTTATTACAAACACTTGTCTGATTGCTGGTTTGTATATGTGTATGTGTATCTATGTGCGTCATGTGTACACCCGCACATCCTTACACAATCTTTGTACGTGGCTAGCTGCATACTGGTACTACACTGACATCCTTCCTGTCAATTCGGTCCATTATGATCCTTGACTTGATTGAACAAATAATGTCACTTGTATTTGTACAATGGACCGAAGTGTCTATAAAAGCAAATATTTTCATTTTTATTGTTGATATTTTGTTTTTTGATTTTTTTTTTGTTGGTTTGTTATTGTAGTATGTTGCTTGTTATTGTTGCTGGCAGTTTGTCAGTTGCTAATGTTGCTGGCTGTGTTATTATGGATGCTGTTATTATTTGGCATTCTTCATTTGATATGCAAATGCATACCAGTAACTTTATTTACACAATTTATTCCATTTACGGTTAATATTAATAAAATAAATAGCGTCGTCAATTAAATAAACATTCCGAATGCTGTTTTCAGTTAATAAAAACTTTAGTTAAGTAATATTTTATTTCTTTTTTTACTTATATACGTTATTTAAAAAATATTAACATATTTTGCAAATAATAATATGCTTAATTTTTTTTTAAATTGCTATTATTTAATAAATTTTTAACTATTAAAAAAATTTAATAGAGTAATGCTATTTTTTTTTAATTATCAAATTCTAATTTATTCAACATATTACGTTATGTATATACTATACATATAAATATATACATATATTAGAAATTAATAAATATTATAAATCACTAAAAGTTTATAAAAATATTAGGGGAATTCGTTCTTACTAATAATATACATGCTTCTATAATAACTTGTACAACTAAATTATAGCTATTCATATTAGCTACTCATTAAATTATTATTTCACTTTAAAAGTGTGTTAGCTGGCACTTTGGCTTTTGCCTATATTTATGTATAATATAAGTATTCACAGCAATATATATATTAATGAAGTTTAGAGGTTTAGTTCGCAATTGCACAAATTTCAGTTTAGTAGAGCACTTCTTATACAGTGATATTTTCAATGTATGACCAAATTACTTTATTAATTGATTTTTTAAACAGGTTTTTCGTAAACTATAACAAAGAGTAGTGAACTATAACAACAAACATTCATTTTATATTATTTTAATTAATTGAATTTTTAGTTGACCATACAGCTGTTTTGAGTATTACCAAATACCCATCATCAGCAGTGCTGGAAATAATTCTTGTATTTAATTATTCGTAAATAATTTTTTAATACTGCAAGTACCAGGTATCGAAATTGTGTCACGCATAATTTGAAGTCCAGAGTCAGCGCACCTTAACCAACTAACCCAAAGCCGTACTTAACTCCACATTTTTCTGGAGTTTTGTTAATTTGCTGTGAAATTTTTATTAACAAATTCACTTGCTGTGTTACACATTCTTCAATCTTCTCTTAATTATGTCTTACTATATACTTATTATATTACTTACTATAGGTGAGTAAATTAAGCATATTTTGATTCGCTGATTGCAGCGCCTGTTCAGCAGATATCCTTCTGTTCCCCATTCATACCGATTATTTGCTATTTTTAATACCACGTTCCTCCTTATTAATTGTTATGAATAAGTCTAGTTTCGTCATGCTGAGTTGGTGTAATTTCATAGCTGTTTTGTTCTTACCGATAAGTACACCCACGGGATGTCAGGACAACACTTTTCTAAAATTCTTCTGCTTTTTCTAGCTAGCAGAGTAATCATAAAGGCAATTTCTAATTGTTTCTTTTTTATGTGAAGTAAAAACCAAATGGCTTAATTAAAATTACTATTTCATGCAATGTAAGAGTTATTTAATATACATCCGCAGTTAATTTTTTTACTTTTGTTAATAGTTGGAAAAGCAAAATATAATTTTTAATGCCATTCAATAGTAACTTACATTATTTCCAAATCATATACTATACTACTGAATTTTTAAGTACGTATTTAGTCGAAAGTTAAAAGCAAAATACATGAAATTGCAGAACATAAACTCAGTTTTGCATTTTACTCTTATATCTATAGTGTATATATTGCATCTTTACCACAAGGATTCACTATCATAAATAAACATGCAACTGTAGATGTCTAAGGAAGCAAATATTTCATGTGCAAATTCCCAATTGGAAGAATAAGTTGTTCTTTAGACGGAACTTATAAAGCTTACCAAAATTATTAACAGTTTCCATCGATTCCATTCATTAAAGAAAATCAAATTTAAAGCTTATATACTAGCATATCTCTGCCTAAAGCAAGTAATTGCAGTCATTAAGTATGAAAATTATGATATACAAAAATTTAAAAATGGTTTTTATAAATTATTTTGAAGTGAAATACTGTGAAAAGTCTCAAAATGATAGAGATGGCAACCAAAAAAAATAATCAATTGGTTATCATAAACAACTGTCAGAAGCACTTTCACTACATACGTTCTCTTCATACATATGAAAACTTTCAAATTTACGGCAATGCACATTTAACTGCTCATACATTTTTAAGTGCACTTTCCTTTTACTTTGGAATCGTATAATTCTGACTGCAATAAAGTCCATTTAAGTCGTCACATAATATTTGGCTTTGTGGTTTTTATATGCAGTCAGATATGCAAAATAGCTCAATCTTACCTACTAGTATATGCAAGCAATAAGGAATTTACTGAACTTATTTTTATATGTATACTAAAATATAAAAGAAATCAAATTGATTTCGACAGATGTCATATTACTTTAACTGCATATAATACTCTTGAATGCTGTTTTAATGTTTGCAACGAGAAAGAAATTTGTAACTCATACGCCGCGTTGTCCTATTTCTTTTAGGAAAGAAATAAGTTTTTAATTGTTATTCAAGTAGTTTTAAACTTTTTAATTTGATACGTTTTGCAAATGCATGTAATTTTGTAAAGAGATACGAATATTTAATTAAAAGTTTTCGTTGATATTTTTTCTTAAAATTCTTTTTTTTTAGTCATCATTATCTTTGTTTTACTTCAAGAATTTTTTACATTATGCAAAAGAAGTTTTCTCACCATTGTAGAATTGTTGATATGAGAATATTTTTAAAAGTTTTTTCCTTAATTTAAAATATATGTAAAATGATACTTATTATTTTATTAAAACTGTTAAGTAAATCAGGAAAAAACTTTTTTCTCATTTATATTTCCGCCATTAAAAATACGTTATATATGTTGTCTTGCACTAATAATAATGGAACTTACTATTTTCAAATATAAGTAAATTCGTCCTTAAAAACTATAGAAGTTACAACATTATTCCATATATATAAAAACAAAATACTACTTGAACCAAAGCAGCAAGACACTGGATACTATATTTCTATTGAAATTGCCAAGCATGTTAAATGTTTTAAAGAAGTAATTAATTTTTGTAAATTAATTGTTGAAATTTAAGATTATATACGATATAATTTGCAGAACACTTACAAAAAACTTACACGCTAGTTTCGTTATCATCATCACTTTGCGACACAACCAAAATTTTATATCACCTTCCTGTACAATCTTGCTCAACCATCTGTAATTAAAACCTTTCTGAGAAACTAGAAAAACCAAGAGAGATGATTAACGTATTATTAATCACACTTTCTGTTTGCAATATAATCACGCTAGTTTCGTTATCATCATCACTTTGCGTCACAACCAAAATTTTATATCACCTTCCTGTACAATCTTGCTCAACCATCTGTAATTAAAATCTCTCTGAGAATCTAGAAATACCAAGAGAGATGTACGTATGTTTGATCACACTCTCTGTTTGATATTTGCTAGACTGTAGTCAAAAATATATTTCTGTAGGCTAGTCATATCCATTATACAAAGTATGCTATAAAAATTTTTCATTTTGTCGGCTTAATTATTACATTGTAAAGAGTAGTCTTCATATTTGTCATGATTGCACAGCAAATATTCCTAAAAGCTATTATTTATAAATATTAGCAGCTAGTCCTTGTCAGGAGATATCATTGCCAAATTTCAGTGCCAGAAGTTGCAATCAGTCTTATCACAGTTTTGTGGGTACACAATTTGATTGTCGTTATAAACCCAGTGTCAAGTACGATCCAGCTGGCAACACTACGACATATAAACAATAGAAGTAAAAGAAGACCACGAACGAAGAAGAAGAGAGCGGGATCAGCAGGGATGTATGGTGGTTGTGCTTGAAATTAAACGGTTTCTTTTTATTATTAAACTAAAGTGTTAAGATGCGCTGAGATATCTCCACCATACAGCTAGGTGATAGTAGATTTACTAATTTTAAGTTGATTTAAATATCTTTCATTTGGCGCTGTAATGCCATGTTAAATATTTTGTCTAATACTATTGTTAAAAGTAATGTACACACCCACGTACTTGAAGCTAACAGTTTCATGTACTTATCATGTACTTTATTGTTTCTTTATAAAGAGATGTCAGACTCACATTCAAGTATGAATACAAAATTTATTTAGAAATAATTAAATATAAGAAATTTTCCCCAAAAAGATGATGGTGGGAATTTGGCAACAATTGAAGCAGCTACACGGTCACCAAAAATAAATATTTTGTTGTTATGATTCACTACTGTTCAAAAGCCTTTATAATGAAAATTAGTTTCTATTAAAAAAATACTTTTTCTTGCCAATTTTGCTTTAAAAAATCATATTAAATAATTATAAAAATTAAGGCTATCCTTTGCTCTTAGATGGTGTTCTTTTTCCAGTATTAAATAATGCTTTAAATATGTTTATATACTGAAGAAATATTTAGCATGTATAAAATATATATTTATTTCATTCGTCTCTTGAAAAAAGTTGCGTAAAATTAATTTTAATAATACTGTTTAAAATATTTATTGAAAATATTCATTTAAATATCATTTTCATATAAATATTTCAGTTGACTTAATTAAGGCATTTATACATTTTATAATTGCTATCTATTTGCTTTAATTTCATCATTAATTTCTAGTTATTCTTCTTAATTCATTTCACAATTATTTAAAATGCAAAATACTTTTAATTCAATTTTGTTGCAAATTTTATTATTTAAACTATTTTTTTTATTTATTTTTCATATATTTGCAACCAAACTTTATGCACCGCAACTTCATGCGATATCCGCAAACGTGCGTTATACTTCCGCCTGCATAAAAACATTACAAAATGGTGTTATCAATAACGGAAATATTAAACTAAATAATAAACACACATATGACAACGGAAATTAAAATTTTTCGAAAATTATTTTTAAACAAAAAATAAAACAAATTTGAATAAAATTATTCGTTTGGTTTTGCACATTTCAACTGCAAACTGTTAATGTGCCGCAAATTGCAGATACGCCTAACTTCCGATAAGTTGAGTTTTGATTTGATACCTGACGTTACGAACAACGTAACACATGCAACTGTCATCAAAATTAGTCGGGCAACCTCCTGGCATTCGGTTGAGCTAGACTACAAGGCGGGAGAAATTAAATTCACTGTTGATTACCATCACACGCTAAGTCAAATGTTCGGACTCACCTTTAATATTGGCGATAAGGTAATTATCGGCAGCAGTTTAAAATCAGCTGCGTCTGGTTTAGTGGGTTGCATACGTGATATTGAAATCAATGGACACCTAATTGAACCACGTCAAATTATGAAAACAGAACGTGTGGTCGGTGAAGTCGCTCTAGATAACTGCAATTATATTGATCCATGCAAACGACCGAATACCTGTGAGCATGGTGGAACTTGTCACGTTAAAGATGATCGTGTTACTTGCGACTGTCAAGGTATTGGTTATGTGGGTAAAAACTGTCACTTCACTGAACACCGCAAAACGTGTGAGGAATTGGCTTTGTTGGGGTATACTAAGTCCGATGTTTACCTAATTGATATCGATGGCAATGGTGTCTATCCACCTGTGCATGTCAAGTGCGATTTTCAAAGTTTGGAAAATGCTACAAAAACAATCGTCGAACACAATTTACCAAGTCAGGTTGATGTACGTTCAACGCTTGATAGTGATTTTAGTTTTAATATTCGTTATCGTGAATTCCCACCAGAAATGTTACAGGAATTAATATCGCACTCACTGTATTGCACACAGTATATTAAGTATGACTGTTATAAGGCACAGTTGGAATTACATTCGGCTACCTGGTTTACTTCATCCTTTAAAAATCACACTGTTGATTTTCTAGGGAACGTTAAAAGGTGAGTACACAAATAATTTTATTTTTCATTATTGATAATAAACGAATGGAATAATATATGATGTTTTCATCAATGCCTAAAATGTGCTTCTTAATTAACATAATAAATGAAACAAATAGAACAACTTCTGAGAATAAAAATATTCATTTCGAAAGCATAGAATATTTATATTTTGAATAAGATAAGATATTTTGGATAAGATATCTTGATTTTTATCACAATATCATTATGAGGCAAAAGGGTTCCCCCTAACTTACAACAATGTCAAAATTTTTACAAACATATGTATAATGCACCTTAATGATTTGCCTTATATGATATCTCTAAAGTCAATTCAATTTTAAAATACATAATATTATGATAAGGAAATACTCCACTCAATACCGGAGTATGAATTCATTTACGAACTTAAAAAAAACTAAAACGACTTTTTAGATATAGTTGCTTTGCATCAATATGAAATGCATAAATGGATTTAAATATTATAATTATTTTATTATAAATATTGGTCCAGAGCCCTTATGCGGGGTAACAAATAGCTTCACAAATAGCTTATTATGTGAATTGGAGAAACAACATCTACTTGAACACTGGAGAGCCCAAACAGGCATGCGACATTCAAAAAGATTAATTGATGCTGATCACATCAAAGTTGATGCTATCCGTGACCTTAGCAGAAAGGATATTAAAATATACACTGAACTTCTTACAGTCTTACTGTAGACTTAATTACCACATGAAGAATATAGGTGTGGTAGAAAGTGACTCCTGTTGACTCTGTTATGAGGAGAAAGAAACATCAGAACATGTTCTATGCAACTGCCAAGCGGTGGGAAGACGTAGACTCGATTACCTTGGAAGCGGGATCTTAGTCCCAAATCAAATCAAATCAAATTGCTTAAATCAGCAATTACAAAATTTATAAAAAGTCTAAAACTGTCCCAGTAGGGCCTTTAGGTGCACAATAGATCTTTTAGGTCGGGGTGCTTTCATAGCCTATTACTTAAATAAAAAAAAATTATAAATATTATAATTCATTTTATTTGTCGACTGTTTTTATTTGCTATAATCAATAAAAACTGAATTTTTATCAGTTTAAGGTTTTGATGCTACATTAAATCGTATTTATACTCCATGAACCTCGTTATTAAGTGAATATAGGTTTTCGTCTGTATTTATTTCCTAATATCTATAGAGATCATATAAGAAAATTAAGATATTTTTTGTGACTTGAACTTGTTTTTGTAAATACAATGAACCTAATTTATTCATAGAAATAAGTCATCTCATATATTATCTTGTAGTATTAAGCATCTGAGTGGACATTTGACTTTAACAAAATTAAAATAGGCTCACATTTATTATTATTCAACTTACGCCATATGTTCATTCAATTCTTCAAAAACTTACTTTACAAAATCTTATTAATATCTTTCTAATGCAAACTCTTGGGTTTTTTTAAACGTTGTGATAATGTAACAAAAGTACACATTAAGATAATATTTTTGAACTATGCTTATACGTAAAATTATAAAAGATAACATAACGAAAGTCATTTCCTTTTGACTCTAATAGTATACGTGAAATAATATTTGAGTAACAATGTATCTCTAAAGCTGAACTAAAATCTTTCCATTTTACTTCCTAATAAACACTTATTAAATCTTAAATATATTTAATTACATTACTGCACTTGTAATGCCTTTTATTCTCCAATATACGAGTATATGTTGAATTTGTTTACAATGGACTCAATCAACATTGCATACTAATTGCACTGTTGATTTTAATGCCAATGGAACGCTTGCAAGGAACATTAAATGCATTTGGAATCATTAAACTTACTTGCCACTTAGTTGCGTAAATTTGGTTTGTCCAGTTGTAAATAGTGAAACTGTCATATTTGTGAGGAAGTCATGCTTGGTTCAAATCACTTGAGTGGACAATGTATGTCCTATATTTGGGTTACATCTACTCAACTACACTTGCAGACTCCAAATGTTAACAATGTTGCAAACATGAATGATTTCTATTCCAACAATTTGGTATCGCACAACAACAACAATAACAACAACTCAAGTGCAACAATAGTAGCAACAAGAAGAAGTTGACACTTGACAGCAAGAATATAAATTTTGTTGTGAAATATTAGGAAATGACTTGATTGGATACAAATATGCTAAGTACAAAATATTATGACTGATTTATTTGCATACATGGGAGATCTACGATGACCGATGATGAGCTGATGAAATTTGTAGAATGAATTCAAATTTGAAACAATGATGAATATTTAAATTTATTTCATGTGTGCTATCACAAGTTCTCTATACTTTATAATTAAATTGTAGTTAAATATTTTGCCTTTATTTTTTCTTATCTATAAATATATATTTCCTTATAGATATAAATATATTCAATTAATTATAAATTTAAGCACCTAAAAATGTTAACTCAATATTTAGTTTCAGTTTTCTTAAAGCTGTACAGTATGAAAAACTATATATGTAAATATCTTAGCAATGTTAACAGTATTTGCAGATCCAATATCTTGTTTTCGAGTAATTCTTCATCTTTCTAATTTCCTACATCCACTAAATCAATCCTTTTCACCCTTTTCATTCATATATTTCTTAGTCTTTATCCAATTCGTAGCCATTTATTTTCTTGTCAATGTTTGCATTTATAAACAATAAACGCATGAATCGTTTTCGTTTTGTGTATTATTAAATTTTACTCAAATTGTGCCTAAACTGTCCTCAGCTTAGTGAACAAATGGGCTATGGCAAGATAACCAACGAATATTTTTGTAGTCTCCATTTGCAGTCATTGGTCAATCTTTAGTCATTCAAAATTTGACAGCTGCCGAGAATTTTGCTCTGCTGTACACTCATATATATACATATATAGACAAAAACAATAACATATATATAAATACATACTTCGATTTATACACTCAAGAAAAAAAGAGGTGTTTTTAATGGACCGCATCTGTTATTTCATATGATTCTACATTATCAATAAAATTATAAAAATGAAACTTAAAATAATATATATCCCCTGGCATATGAACATAAGATAGATAAGAATAAGATAGACATAAGATAGACTGACCTAACATAGTGTCCTTACATTACTTTTTCAATTTCTGAAAATGTAGAACCTTTCAGGCAAAACTGACAAGCCATTCAACATGATTATCATTTCTTTAACCCAAATAACATAAACTCTCACTATTCTTTTATATATTCAAAAAAACAAATCGTTCTCTTCTTACATCTACGAATCAGACACACTTTCGTGTCCTCCATACACCAATTCTCTGCTAGTGGTCAAGTACTTTGCCTCTACAGTAGTTTCATATCATCTCATTATATCCTTCCTATCACATCTTTTCTAATCATTTCGATCTTAATATTCCTTCATATCATCTAGAACTTTTGTGTCACCCATACATCAACTCTCTACAAACGCTTAACAACCGTGCCTCTCCAATAGTCTCATATCACTTCCTCATATCCTTGATTCCTGCGGCATCTTTTGTAATCAAACTTTTCGTCGCAACTTTTTGTTAAAACAAATTAAACTAATTTAGTAGATGAAAGATAGGTCATCAATTGGTACTCTCTGCGTATTTTCAATAACGATAATTTTTCAAAACTTTATTAAAAAAATGTTTTAATATTATATTATTATAGGTGACCGAATATTGGTATTAAGATATGAGGTGAAAATTTATAGTATTCTGATTGGAAATTACAAATACTTTATTTTTTATTTACTTACTTACTCATTTGGTCATAACAACCCGTTACCAGATTTTGGCCTGACGCAGCATGGCTCTCTAGGTTTCTCTGCTGCGTGCGGGTCTTCTCTATTAAAGATAGTACGTCGTCAAATTAATCACTCCATGGGAGACACGGTCTACCTCTACGCTTTCTTCCTTCAACTACTGCTTCAAACACATTTTTCACTAAACCATCTTCATCCATTTTCGTAACATGTTAATTCGCTGAATTATATCAATGTTGTGATAAAGCTCGTACAGCTTGAGGTTCATTCGGATGCGAGACAAAGATCTTACAAAGAAGATCTTTTATATTTTCTTATAAAAGATATAAAAATTACAAATACTTTATTCCTATAAGTCCATTTAGCAGTTTATATGTTGCGCTCGATGTGAAACCCCTCTCTTGAACCTCTTAACTGTCCTTTTGGGAAAAATGTTTTAATCATAGACATATCATATCCCACTCTTATATCTTTTTTACATATTTCAATAAGATTTTAGTTTAATAACATATTGTCACTTCTTTTTCGACAGAATATTACTTATACTTATCAATAATATCAATAAGAACAGAACTTTTTATCCTTCAACTATAGAAACTTAATATTTGTTTTATTCTTATTACTTTAATTTTATTATAACATTTACAAATTTCTATTATCTTATTCAAAAATTTGTTTTTTTTTTTTTGAGTATAAAATCTGTACAATTTCATTTTTTCATAACTAATTTTTTCTGTTTGTATAAATCTTATTTTTTCAATTTTCGCTCAAAGTTGTTTTTTATTCTTTTTAACTGTGCTCCCTTTCTAGAGGTGCTTGTCCCTGCTCCGTCAACAAAACATGTGTGGACCCAAATCAATCATGCAACTGTGATGTAAAGGAAAATAAATGGCACTCAGACGAAGGATACTACACAGAACCACATAGTTTAGGCATAACAAATATGTTTTTCCTGCAACAAAAAGATTTGGATGAGGAAGCACAGGGACGCATAACATTAGGACCATTAGAGTGTGTCGAAACAAGTATGTAGCAATCATGTTTTTCCAATAAAAAAAATCACAGAAGTAATTAAAAAAATTGTATTAATGTATTAATCATTTTATATATATAATATTTATTTTATTTATTTTTAATAATATACCATCAGATACACAAAAATATGTCGTGACTTTTACCACCTCACAGTCTTACATCGAAGTGCCCGGTTGGCGTAAAGGCGATATTGCGTTTTCGTTCCGTACAACAGGTGAAAAAGCCATATTGCTTTTTCAACCGCCTATTCGACCATATTATCCTTCATTTATGGTCGCACTTACCGGTGACTATCAGTTGACATTCAACTTTACACTAAGCACTGGCACTACACGTGAATTGGTGATAAACTCACGTCGCAAGTTAAACGGTGGTGAATGGCATAAAATATGGATTGATTACAATGAGTATCATGTACGTTTCATGATAAATACAGACTCTCAAATGGTTGACCTACTGCCAGAGGAGGAGTTCGGCCCATTTGAAGGTAGCATGTATATTGGCGGCGCAACAGCGTAAGTAAAATATTATTTTTTTTATTAAAAAACAAACTTATGAGTGCTTACGGAACTTTTACTGAATTTTGAAATTTTTTTATTTCTTAGTCCAATTATTGACAGTTATTAACAATAATAGCATTATTCAAATCTTGTTTGTAGAATTGGTTCAAATTGCACTTCTATCAATTAGGAGGTCATGAATCACCTCCTAATTATTTTGCCATCAGTTGATTGTGATTAAGCAAATTCCTAACGCATAGTACATATTATCCGTTATCTATCTAATAAAACCTAATAAGTATCCTATTATCTGTTTTAAAAATATGACACGAAATATAATACATCCAGATATCAGAAGAACGCCACTAATGGAATACTAATCTGCAAATAAGTTTTAAAGGTATCTCTTTTATACGGATGTATGGTATGTGAGACAGCAGTCAAATTTACTCTCATAAGTGAACTTAAAATCAATTCACATCATCTTATTCCCAATTTCAAGGTTGCTTTAATCTCTACGACTAGAAGCAGTCATACTTAATTCCGTATTCCAGTAAAACGTGAATGGTGATCTTAAATGACACTGTGCACCACTAGCTCAATTGAATTGAAAAACATATCAAATCCGTTTAATATCGCAAAAAGTTTCAGATATAGTTATTTCTTATTGCTCCATAATTTAATATTAAAAACGATAACTCGATCATCAAATTTGAATCACACAATAATTACCAAAAGTGTGATTCTTATAAGGTATGCCAACGATATTCATATTGTTAGTTAAAGTACATAACCTATTTCATCCAATGAAACCAATGGGTTGTGTGAAAAATAGAACAAAACTCTCTGTCAGCAAAGAAATTTTCTGATCGTTTCAGAACTCACGCCACTGTTGACAACAATAACTCCGAAATTTTGAAAGACTTTAAAAACATTAAAACTAATGACTGCTTAGATATTCCACAAAAACTCACATTTATCAATATCTTCAACTGCGGGCAAAGTAACCAATTAAAAATTTAACTGTGCTCTCTACTGTTATATGGTATTGAAGATGGAACAATAACCAACATTGATGAGAAGGCATGAGAAGCATTCACAAGAAAGGTTATTTGGACAATCAATGCCTCAGTAGAAAATATCGATTTAGATGGAACGATGAATTATGTGAGCTATACCACAACATTAACAAAGTTAAAATTATTAAAATTCAATGAAGTCGCTAGCTTAGACTTTGTGTACGAGTAGGTAGAAAATGTTTTAGGTGGAAAACTTCTTAAATCGGTATTCATAAAAGAAAAAAGCGATAAAAAAAGTACTCATCTTTGTTCAAATAATGAGTTGACAAATCATCTAACGACACTCAGTATTATTAATTGAAGATAGCAAGCTACTCTGCAGATTGTTTTATGGCGGCTATCCAATGCGGTCAAACATGGTGCACGGCTTTTAAGTGTAGCTAAATTAGTCAGTTTCACAGATTTACTTAGAGAGAAAGTGATTTAGTTAGAGACTCTCTTTAAAAACATAATAAATCTACTTATTATAGGCTTCTAAATCATTGTAATATGTTACAGACGAAGATGAACGCCATTAGGGAAATTATTGCTTGTCTGAAAATGGATTATATATTTAATGGAAACATATACATACTTTTAAACAGTCAAACTGCTTTAAAGCCCTTGAGTCCAATACATTTAGGACGGTTTTTGACTACTACAGGAGTCTCTATTCTGAATCATACAGATATTTTCGACAATTGCTAGAAAGCTAGAAAGAATGCTTCAGGTAATCGTTTCGAATACCTAAACAATCTGATCATAACGATAACATCATGCAAACTGTTACTGAGGTCTTTCTGTGCCGAACTTTTTAATAAAAGCTGGAAAGATTCAACGATATGTATGCAAATTAGCCACATTCCAGTAAAATGAAATTTAATACTGTCATTGAAATGCACTGTGGAAATATCAATCTTGTTGTAGGTTTACTTACTGCAAATTAAGAAACCAAGCTTGAAGATTAGTTTCAATTGTATCTGTTGCCGTTGTGAAGAGGACGATGTAAGTACCTCTCATCTGAATTGTTTGCGCCCAGCATATGCGCTGCGCTGCCTTACTACTCTAGGTGCTTCCTTTTCTAAGAATTTTGGTGAACTAAAACACCTTCCTTTAAAAAGCATTTTAAGCTTTGTAAAAGGTTCAAGATGGTTTTAAACGTAAACTGTAACACAATTGACCAATAAGCCAAAGTGGATTCCTTTGAATCGAAGGTACAACCTAAACTAACCTACTATTTGAGATAAATAGTTCCGTTAGTGGAATTCTATAAAAGCTTTAAAGATATAAATTATTCATCATTATTTAATATGGGAAAGTAAAAGAGTTAACAGTCCACTAGCAGTTAAGTACAATAAAGGAGTTTTATAGCTCTTTTTAATTCTCGTCGTACAATCGTCGTGCCTACTGCATGTTTATTTGTATTTAACTTATTATTAAAGTCTATATTTGTTATTGGAATTTATTTTTAAATTAACAATATCTAATTTGGAATGATAACATTATGCATTAATATTTTATTGAGCTACTTAACATAAGCAAATTGTATTGTGTGCAATTGAACTTTACACAAACTTGAATTAATTAGTTCATTGAATATTGGCAATTGGCAAGTAAAATAGAGTTTCACGTGCCAATAAAATTAATTTACAAGCAAATAATTTATATTTGCTTTTTAATACACGAAATTCTTTCACTTAACATAAAATCGAACTTATAAATTATTTGAAATCTTGCCAATATAATTCTCATTAAAATTTATTAAGTACGATTAAAATAATTTATATATATAACAAAATAATTTATTTCAAATTTAAACAAATTTTTTCAATAATTACGATTGATTTAATTACACGATACATAGATAATAACAATATAAATTTCTGATATATTTTAAATGTGGTCGTATATAATTTTAATCCGTTTTCAACTTGAAGTTTAATTATTTTAATAACAACTTTTAAATGAATAGCAAAACAATGCATTGATATAGCAATCCTTGCTCATTCATACCAAAAACAGAAATATTTTAGACTAATTTGGACTCGTACAATAATGAAATTGGCCAATCGTGCAAATTAAACAACATTGATTTAATGGTAATTATTGGCGCCATTGTTTCAGAGCCGGAACAGCTGAAAAGCATAGAAGACACAACAGCGCTCGGGGAAGGACTAGCACATAAACTAATTGGTACTGGAATTAATGATTTCATTTTTGTTGTATTTTAAATATGTTTACATGATTGTTAAATGCCAATTGAATTGCATTGTTTGCAGCATCATTTACTAGTACAATAAGGCCTGCTTACCACACTTGCATTACAACATTACAACATTACAGTATACCATACCATACCATACTAGTGATTTCCAGATATAAAACTAAAATAACAAAAATAACAGACAGGCAGGCAGGCAGGCAGGCCAACATTCAGGCAGGCATTTAAAATGAGGCAAACAAAACGAGAATGAAATTAACAGAAAATAAAAAATACTGGTAGGGGGAGCTATACGACAACCGACAAATTGATCTCAACCGATTTGGCAGTTGCTGTCACAGCATGAAAATGTTTAATTGCTTGTGATGGTATTAAATAAATTTTTAATGGATTCGCACTTTTCATGTTTACAGGCTTTAAAGGCATTTTGTGCGCACCAAGTACTTTTTTGTCCTTTCATTTCTTTATGGTCGGTTCACTTCCATTTTTTGCAGTGTCTATACTATAGACTCTATAGTAGCAAGTGTAAATAGAGGAGGAGAAAAAAAATGTTTAAACGACACCCAACAATATGGGTTCCACAATATGAATATGCACACAAAATGGCGCTGTTGCACGAATCACACCAACACCAACACCAACATAAAAACAGGATGCACGCTCTGTCGTATAAGCATTTTTCGTCTGCGTTCCCTGATTGCAAGGCTTTGAAGCTTAAGTGCCTGACTTTTGCTTGCTTAAGCTGAAATTTACCGAAAATATGTCCTGAAATAAAGAAATTATGCTAATTTTGGCAATGCACGTTTTAGTTTTTTGCTTAAGGCTATAAAAAGATTAAACATTTGTTTTATGATTTAAATTACACATGATTTAAACTGCGCTTAGTCTTAAAGCTAAATTATGCAAATTTGCCTTAAGAACACAATTTAATGCAATATTTGCCTGACTTGTGAACGTTTTCGTATTTCCTCCAGAAGATGCATGCACTAGTGTGTGTTTAAATCCAAATAATTTCTAAAGAAAACCAATATTCTTTCATGGAAAACATAAACGTTTACATTTAAAGAGTTTCGTATGAATATAATATGAAGTTTGCCTTAAAATTTGAAGGCAATAAAAAGTTAAGTTTTACATCTATGAGCTTTCTAAGAAACATAGACAATTTTTATAATTTTGTTTAGCATGGCAGTCTTCATATTGTTTTACTCATACGACAAAAATTAACTCTAACGCAGAATACGTTTCTTAACATTGTGGCATAAATACAAAAGGTGACCCCTTAGTCCAGGTACGTGATTAGGTTAAGTGGAAGAAGAAACGAATTCCCAATTAGCGAAGAGAGCTGTTTTGATTTCTTTACTCATAATTGTGGATAGAACGAAAAGCATACTAGAACAGAAAGGTGATTTCTTCAACCAAGAACACAGGTAGATGAAGTGAAAAAAGAAACGAATTCTGCTCAATTAACTAAGAAAGCTGTTTTGATTCCGTTCATCCTAATTATGGGAAGAAAGTTGGGCATTTAAGAACCAATCAAACGCATTAACAAATGCAAGTATCTGTCGAACAATTATGTTGAAAATATCAGTATCCGAATGTGTTAAAGTTTTGGACGCCCAATAGCTAAAGCCTGGTTCTGAATAAACTTGGACATAAACACAACATGTTGTACGGTGCCTCATTTTATAGCGTTTGTAAACATGTAATACAATTGCTTCAACAGTATAAACCAAGCCCAACACCATGCTATCTTTTAGTCCAGCGTTTCGTTTGGACAGATATTAATCTAGATACTTCAGATTATATTCAGAGGTTCTAGATTTGGAGCATAGTAGTCATATAACTTTTAACCTGACTACTCAGGAAATATGAGTTTAATTCTTATATCACTGTCGCAAAACATTGCCGTAAATAACCTTAAGCCTGCAGGCGGCAAAAGCAGAGATTGAAACGGGAGATTCCAAAAGTTTAGAACGTGAGCACCATGTTTAGTTAATTTATCTACACGCTCATTCCCTGCAATATTATATTGTCCGGAAACCAAACTAAAGCTAACTTGGAGCTACTCTTTAGGACATTACTACTTATCATCTACATTCGTGTAATAATTTAATTAAGTATGGATAATATAGACTTAATTTTCATTAAAGTCATGTTAACAGTAAGAGAACTGTTCTCGGGATTGTAAAAATTTCTACCTGTAATATTGAAGTTGAGTCAAAGAGGCGATAGGATTTACTAGTCCCTTATCCGCCTTTAAACCGTCTGTGAAAATTGCCATCTTCTCTTCTCTTTGTAGTGCACAAAGTCTTAAAGCAGCCATTTAAATAATGTCAATGAGTAGTACGTGGAGCATAACATTGAGCGCAGTAATGGGGCACAATCTTAATGCCCTCAATATTCCCACGAAAGCTGATCTTTGCAATCTGGTTAGCATTTAAACAATATACTATTTACTCAGCCAAAGACACTAAACAAAGTATCCGTATCGTCGAACAACGATTGTGTATAACGAGAGGATGAGTCTTTTAAGTAGTCTTATATCATTTATTCTTACAGTATAACCAAACTATTTAATATTCCTGTTTTTTAGCTAGTGTAAAACTTTTATGTTATGCATATCTTATTATTTCGTATCTTATTCCATCTCATGAATAACTATGAATCTCAAACACAGAAAATTTTGTTCTTAATCTATAATTGATGATACAATCACAAAATACCTGCAAAGTTTCTATACACTTGGTATGATATCTTGACCCTCAATGCGTCATTAAGATTGGATTAGTTCTCCATTTTTTTCCGAGGCACTGTGACCCACACATCATTCATCTATCTATGACAAAGCCTTATATTCTTATCTTATTATTTTTAAATTCTATTGGATAGCTCATATCAGTCATTATTTTATCTAATTCGATCCACGTTGTCAACGTGCATAAAACCGTAGATTTAGTTTTTGATATTTTATATATAAAAGTAGTAAACCATTTAAACAAAATATAGGAAGTCAATCAAACAAAAAGAAAGAGATATGTATAAAAAAGTCTAGATTTAAAGTGTAAACAGAGTTTTTAAGTAGTTATTTTAGTTTAAAATTTTCTGAACTTCTATCCATCTTAAAGAGCAACAACTAACTTCTTGCCAAAATTTTATTTAAAGCAAAGTTAAACTTTTTAAGAAACAAATTTTTGTCCGTTTTCTTAACACTTAAACATGTTACGGAAACATATTTTCTGCGCTTTTATATTCACTTTGAACTGACATATCCACGAGGACGTCCATATCCCCCAAAACCCATGCACTTCTTCCTACACGAATGTACAGTATGTCTTTGAATGCATACTTTACGGCGTGTAGATATGTGTAAATTGTGTTTCCGAAACTTCAATGCCTCAGAAAGTTTAAGCTACAAATTTTATTGGTCCATTCATGATTAAAATGAACAAAAACAAGAAACAAAGAAAAAATAACCAAGAAAAATTGAAAAAATTGAATTGAAAGGAAAGCGTATACACATAGCAACTTTGACCAACTTTATTTCAACCGGAAACAGGAAGACGTCAACGTTAAAGTTTGTACCAGTTTCCACAACTGACTTTTACAAAAGTTGCGCTCAACTATTGCAACTGCTGCAGCTGCTGCATTTTATTTGCATAAACCATTGTAGGTTTAACTAGTAAAAGTTTATCGTCCCCCCTTGCATTTTATAACTTTACTTATACTTCTTCTACGCGAACTCATTTTTTATTTATTACTTACATATTCTTAACTTGTATACGTTTTACATTTAATTGCGTTTATTACAAAATCGCTTTATTTTTAACCATAAGCAATTGAAATAATTCGATTCGATTCGATTCGATTCGGTGCGATTCGACTCGATTCGATTAACAATTACTTGGAGTATTAAATTTTAATCTGTCAGTAAGCGTAAAAATCTTAACTTCTTCGTTCTATATTGCAGTGACCTTTTGAAAAAGCTTTCGGTTAAAGCCGGTCTGATAGGTTGCTTCCGCGGCCTGGTTGTCAATGGTGAAATACTTGACATTTACACATATATGTCGGTGCATCTATCCGAAATAATTAAAGACTGCAAGCCATCCTGTGTGCCGTCACCATGCAAGAATGGCGGAGAGTGCAAAGAACTGTGGAGCACTTTTCAATGTGTCTGCAATAATCCTTGGGCTCATATTGGTGAATTTTGCGAGACAAGTAAGTAAAGGTGCACTCAACTGTACTGTACCATATTTTAAAAGATATTTTAATTGTCATTGGCGTCATTACTACCAGCCAATATTAAAATATATGTAATGAATTTTATTGTCAATTTTTATTGCGCGCAATCGAATATTATTACAGATTTAAAATAATAAATTTTTTTTTTATATCATTTCCTGTGCACTTATTTAACAGACATCAACGAAAAGGCGCTCACATTCATCAATCGCGAATCTTACTTAATGCGAAACTATTTAAGCGCAACTGCCACACCCAGCATTGTGCCAGGCATCGATGGGGAGCGGGAAATACTCAAAGGCATTTTAACACAAGATATACTCATTAATTTGCGCACTTACGACACAAATGCACTGGTTCTGTATGCCAATGATCACTACAACAACTTCGTACATTTGTATATCACCGAAGGACGTGAAATTGTCTTCCTTTACAATTACGGTGACGAGATTGTGAATCTGACAATTGTGGATGAAACAGTCAGCAGTCTGAAAAGCATACAAGTAGCAATAATACGCGAAGAGCAAGTGACACGAATGCATGTAAATGACCAAAATGTGAGCATTGAACGTGGCACGTTGTTACTGGATGAATACGCCAATAAGCCGTGGAATAATCCGGAAAAGGGTAAGTGATGTATAGCCTGGTATTGTGAATGACAAAACAAAAGGTAATGAAGTGCCTGTATTTCAAATGAAATTTGGGTCAATTTGCTTGATAAGGTTTTAAAATCACTCAAGAGAATTGATTTTCAATTTGAAGCAAATGGTTTCATAGGTTATTAAGCGCGGTCTATAAATTTCATTACGTAGATAAGAAAGATGAAAAGTACTTCATCAAATAATAACAGTGTTTTAAATTAATGCTACAAAAAATTTAACTCTTTCGAACCGAATTTCGGAAGCCATTAATTACAGATAAATTTACAAAATAACTTACTGAATATATTGTTTTAATCCTAATCGTAATCGTAATAACCTAATCGTATCAGAAAAATCGCAAAATTTCTTTTTGAATTGTGAATAATAATGTAATAAAGTTAGTAACACATATCAGGTTTATTGTGTGCAGTATTTAATCCATACTGGAAACATCGGTCCATCGGCATCACTTTCAGCAAATCAGCAAATATATTCCCTATCACTAGTATTCTTCTAAGCGGAGCTAAAGATTTCTTTGGATTAACGTCTAATGTGCTGATTAATTTAGATATTTAAGCTTTTATGTATTTGTTGACTCAATAGAATAGTTTATATGAACCTCTGATATACCAAGGAATTTTCAAAATTTTCCTTAATTTGATATGATTAAGTTTATTTTTGTAAGTGCCTTACTTAAAGCGACAGAATCATACTGTAAATATGGCATTGATAATGACTTTTAAATATCTTCCTTGAGTTGATGTTTTTAACATTTTTACAAAAACGAAATATCCCTACATGATAGATATTTCCTATCTAGAAGTATCTATGAGTTCCTTAATTTGTATGACTGTGAGGAAACGCGATACCTACTTTTTGATGACAATTTTTTTAAAGTCAAATTTATATGTCAAATATATTATATCTCTTATAAAAGCCACTCCTCTAATGGTGATTTATGGTTATTCAATTTTAATATGTTATGTATTTTGTAAAACTGATTACTTTAGAACGCTAAAAAGTGCATTTCGAAATCAAAGATGCTTCAGTTTTATTTTAAAGCATTTACAGTGATAAAACTGAGTTTCAGCCTAAAATGTTGAAGTCTATTTACAAGGATGATAGCCTTTATTTATCTATATTATCTATTATTATCTATATTAAAATGTAATAATGAATAATGAAATTAAACATAATGAAATAAAATTTTATTTAGTATTTTCGGTTTATTTTTATAAACAAATTTAATAATGAAACCATTGCATTACTATTAATGATGATATTAATTTAACTCTTTAATATCTGAGCACTAAGGAAAGCTGTTTGTTTGATGAATAATTTGATGGATGAAACAATATGTTGGACATGATCAAATTGCACCTGCTCCTCTATATCATGCATAGTAGATGCATTTGCAGTAGATGCACACTTTCTTTTTTGGTTTCTTACTCCTCTGCTTAATGTGTGCTTATTTCCATAAGGAAAAAAAATTATTTTCATAATCTTCCATTATAATCTGATAAAGTAAGTTAACTGCAACTAAGACCATGAATACTATATATTAAGTCCTTTCAAAGGGTATAAGAAAATTATCATTTTCAGTGCTTACCAGTGCTTAATTCTTTCAACTCACATTTTTTAATTTGTTATAATTTAATCTCCTATTGCCACTAATTGCCTTAATCGTTTTTGCTTTAATTATTAATTAGTAATTTTAAAATTTTATATCTCATTATATCCTTAATAATACTAAATAATACAATGAAAGAGACTTATAGATTTTATAAAAAAACTCAACTTGCAGTTTAACAAAGGTTTACGTTTAGTAAATTAACAATTAAAAAGTGAATAATTATTCAATTAAAAAATTAAACACTTCAACACTCAATTAAATTTGCAAAACACTGATTCATGATTGTGATTAATGGTCCAGAATACAAAATATTTATGTATTTAGTATTCAGTATTTAAAGCAAATTAATTGAAAATCATAAACAAACAATTATTTTATATAAATCAGCTATTTCAACTCGTAAAACTATTATTTAAATAAGTCCTATTTAAGTATTAACAGATATGTAATACTTGTATATAGATGCTTAAAAAGTTTAATTAATTATGTTTTTATTTTATCTGTAAGTTTATTTGATTTCCACATTTGTATATGTGCTAGTGAATATTTCTAGCACATAAATACACTATTATTAGAGTATTATTAGAGCTTTCTTCATAACCCCTTCCTACACCTTGACTAAATTATTGTTTATCTCTTCATTAGACTAAGTAATAATTGACCTCAGTACTACAGATCTTCCCGATGAGCCTGTAACCATTCTGAGATTCGATAACACGGTGTTGATAAGCCCATCAATTTTCGTAAATAATTTCAGGGCTCTATCCTTTATATATTTTTTGATCGGTTCAATATTGAGGTCACTGAGGATGTCATTAGTCCTAATGATGAACCATGGTACCTTCTCAGAATCTGGCTTTGTACAATTTCTAGCTGGTGAATAGTAGTATTTGAGGCTTTACTGAACGCTTCACATCCATATAGAAGCGACGGTTGAATTATTTGCTTATACAACAGCTTCCTGATGTATATATATAATTAAATAAAATAATTCGTTTTTAAATATATGAAGAACTTTAGTTTAATTTATTTTAAAATATATGTATTATTATTATAAAGTGTTAATTTAACTTATATATGCTGAACGTGTCTTTTGAACTTTCCTAACTTTATTTACTTCAAATTATTAGCTAACTAAATATTATTAATATTTAAATATAATATTTTATTTATATTATTATGTTAAGGCTAGTTGAGTCATTGAACTTGAGCACTTTTACTCTCTATTAACTGCGAAGTTTCTTCATAACCATCTCTATGCCTTGACTTGATTATTGTTTATCACCTCAGCTTACTAAGCAATAATTGACCTCAGATCTGCATACCTCCCTGTGGAACCTGTAACCATTCTGTGTTGGCAATGTTGTATATAATTATAAGTATTTAATATATTTATAAATAAATTTTATAATAAAACCATTTCAATACCATTAATGATATTAATTTTAATTTACATTATTTTATTATTTGTTATTATTTGTTTTTTTATTTATAATATTTTATTAATTTTTAAATATGATTAGTAAAATATTACTCGTATATTTTTGATAAAATAAAGCAAAATATTAATAACATTTCTAATAACATTTCAAAATATAGCACTACACAAGTGAATATATTTTCTTTAAATTTCAAAAATTTCAACTCTTTTTTTCCCGATATGAAAATAAATCTAAATAAATTTTCTCGTTTTAATATCTGCAGAAGTACTGTCACCACATCGTCCACCCGCACCACCCACTGAATATTTCCAGTTCAATATTGGCGGATATGATCCGGCAAATTTATTGCGTACTAATACGGATGCGCCTGCATTAGACGGTTATATTGGATGCGTGCGTGGCCTGAAAATTGGTACAAATCTGATCGACTTGGCTGATGTCAATGAAAGGAACATAGCACCCAGTAAGTATTGAAATTTTAGCTAGAAGCAATAAGCAAATTTCAATTTTGCATCATATCGCAATAACAACAAAAACAACAAAAACAACAGCAACAACAACAACGACCAAAACAAACAGTTTCCATATTTGGTTGCATATGCCAATATCATGTATACCGAAACGGATATTATAGAGAAATATGGAGGATAATGTGGCACTGCATGCAATTTCCTTAATGCTAAACACATAGCCAAGCAGTTGTGGTCATTTTGGTAAGATTAATGTCAATCGGATAGCATGAGAGAGTTAAGCGCATAATATTTCTTTTTAATAATCGTACTCTTGGAAATTGAAAATTCATTCAATATCAAAATATCTTTGAATTGCTGAAAGAGTCACAGCAAATGAAAAATAATTCATCCGAATATTGGATTAAAATGCAATAAAATTGCTCTTAATATAAACGTTTTCTTAAAATTTTATTTATTAAATTATTTTTAAATAATTTCTAAATAAAATTTGTATGCTCTTATTTTATGCAATTTATCTTCATATAGAAAATTAAGTAATAGTAAGGAAATTTTTATACAAAAATTTAATTTTTAATATAGTTAAATTGATTTTGTACTACTATTTTGACGAAAGAAACTTAATTTTTAAAATAAAATATTGTTTTTAAAAGAGAGGTTTTTATCAAATAGTAGTGAATTGCAACAAAAAAATTTTTTTTATAATTTTTTAATAATTGCATTTTGAACTGGCAATACAGCTCTTTCGAGTATTGCCAAATATCCATCATTAGTGGTCTTGGAATTATTTTTTATTTTTAATTGTTCGTTACTAATATTTTTAAAAAAGAAGCGCCTGGAGAGTCCTCTTAACAAGTTCCTATGGCTAAATGCGTAAGTAAGTAATAGTCTCAAAAACAGTTTCAAAAATTATTTACGAATAATTAAATATAAAAAATAATTTCAAGACCCCTGATGATGAGTATTTGGCAATCCTTGTAACAGCTGTATGGTCAGTCAAAAATCCACTTATTAAAAATATAAAAAAAATATTAATATAGTTAATTTTTGTATCACAACCGAATGATCGGCTATATCAAACACCCTCAAATATCCGCCATCATTGGTCTGCGGGAACATCAATTGATTTAAAGAATAATTTCTTTTCAAGACCACTAATGATAGATATTGCAATTAGATAGGTTCTAATTAATTTAATTTGAATCACAACATTATTTCGTATAAAGAATGAATGTGTCGGAAGACCAGTAAAGATGGATATTTGACTGTGACATGAATCCATAGTCATTTAAATAATTTAAAGACATAACAATATATTACGAGAACAATATAAAATAAGCACTACTTTTGATGGCAACTCTGGAAGAACTGGAAATTTTGTTAAACTTATATATGCAAAACCTGTAATAAAATTTAAAGTTAAAGTTTCGAAAATGAATAATAATTCTTTGCAATTATTGGTAAGAATATTTTTTTTTATATAATTGTTAATAAAATATGAATTTTATTGCTTTTTAATAGTAATATAATAAATGGAAAAATTAACGTATCTGTTACGAATTTTTAGACTTGGCAACCATGTGATTTAAGCTGCTTATTAGTTAAGCAATTTCAAAAAGTTTGGACTAAATAAGTCAGCAGTATTGTTGTTTCAAATGTTATTTTTAAAATAAGCGGTTGTTTTTTTGTGATGTGCTTACAAAAGAAGAGGTTTTGTGTAAAAAATTAAGTCTCGAAAAATGCCTGTTACTTACTGGTATACATGCATAGTATTTTAACTTCAAAAAACTAACAAACCAACAATTATTCCCTAATCAAAGTTTGTTTTTTTTTTAAATATGTATAAAAATGACAAATTATTAAAGTCCCAAAACATTGTTCTCAAATATTTTCTACACATAAAAGTTATAATACTAAACAACGGTTACAATATCCACAAATTCAATTTATTAAATTAATTTTCTCTTTATTTTCAGCACTCGATGGCGTACTACCCGATTGTCAAATTAAATGCGACGCAGAACCATGCAAGAATGGCGGCATTTGTAAGGAAAATTTTGCCAAACAGGAATCCACATGCGATTGTGAGCATACTAGCTTCCTTGGTGAGTTTTGTATGGAGGAAAAAGGTGCCGATTTTAGTGGTGAATCGACAATGCAAAGGAAATTTGAGTTATTTGGTAAAGTTGACTATGTGCGACTGCAATTGGCGTTCTCCTCATTCGATTTGAGACGTGCCAATCGCGTAATGTTACTACTACAGACCGCAGCAGATCGTAGTTACTATCTCATGGTAGCCATAACAGCAGATAATTATCTGTTATTCGAGGAAGACCGCGAAGGACCAGCAGTGGGTGCACGTATAGATCGTAATTTTCTTAATAATGCACGCCACTCCATATATTACTTACGCAACGGTACGGAGGCCACATTGTATATTGACCGCGAACAGGTGCCATTAAGTGCAATAAGTGCACGTACATTGACGCCGACAAGTGACTCGAGTGCAAATCGAGTGCAAATTGGTGGCATCAATACAACAGATTCGAGATTCGCTGTGTTCAAAAGTTACAGTGGCTGTTTATCCAGTGAGTAACTTTATACCTATACATTCTACTAGTACTTGTACTATACATATTACTACTATGACTTCATACCTCTTGTACTCGTATCCTTTAGTGTGATGGTCTGTGCAGTATTTTGTTATGTTCCCTGTTGCTGTCAAGGGTCTACCATAAATTTCACAGCATTGCGCTATTAATTCTTAAAGCTTCGCTGAGTTTCTGACAAGGGTTCACTTACACAGTGGCGTACTAAGATTTGCCGTTTGTTGCGTGAAAGCATTTTTTTATCCTTGTTCACATGTGTGTAGTTCTGTGTACGCGAATTTTAAACTTTTTATAATACTCATTTTGTTTATTTATATATTTATTTTATATTTTCAACTTTTGTTGCATTTTCTCAACTTTTGTTTTTATTTTCATTTTTATTTTCATTTGTGTTCTTTTGTTTTATTACATTGATCCTTCCAAGGGTCATCAACGCATTTACGAAAATCTTGTTTCACACATGAAAACAGTAAAAAAATTAACAAGAAAAAAGGAAGCTTCGTTGTAAAATGTTTTCCTTATCCTGACTTTGAATTGTTGCCCCATCATGTTATATGTTTATGGTCGAAACTTTTTCGTAATAAAAATAAAAACAAAAGTTTGTAGAAAATCTATTTCTGGTAATATAGGATAATCTGGAATGTGTTTAAATTTAGACAATGACTTAAATCTTTCAAATGAAATTACTGCCACTGCTAATGAATTCAACCGATTTAAGGAAAGCCTATTAAGTATATCTATCGGAATATTTTCCGGTGAATTTAAACAATTTTTTATGGTCGAAGATAAAACCAGATTAGAATTTAATCTAACGGAAAACATTAAATAAGAACTTCTTAAATAGAAAAACTTTTTATGAAATAATTAAATTTAATTTTATAAAATAAGATTATTTATGCAGGTATTATTTAATCTAAATAGGTTCAGGGTTAAAATACAAGCGTGAATAATACTTTCATACATACTTTCATACGTGTTAGGCATAAATACATATATTTTTAATTTAAACTTTTAATTAAAAGGATTTACCAGTGGTCAATTATTCAGTTGCTTTCCACTCACAGTTTTTAGAATTAGAGTTTTCAGTGTTCTGGATGATATACAATGTGATCGTTATACAAGATGAACATACTAATCTAAGATGATCTAATGTAACTTTTTTCTATCTGTGAAGCTTTTATGACCACTGCAAGGACAGCATTTTCAAAAAATTATATAGCAGATTTCATTGAATGCTGTCATATTTGTATTGCTCTTTATTCAGTCTTGCTTAAAAGTGACAAAATATTTTTTAGTTGATTAATAATTTTTTTATATACTTTTTTTAATCAATTTGAATGATTATTTATTTTTAGTAACAGAAAGGATAGTTTTCTAATCAGAATCATCGTCATTATCATTAATAGCGCAACGATTGATTCTAGTTGAATCTTAGGCTATCTTCCTAATCAGTATAAAAGGAGTTTTTTTTTATGGAATACTAATGTTTAAAATATTCATCACACACGTAAATTCATAGACTTCCAAATCAAATGTTTTTCTTTAAGCAAAGGAACTACTCAATTAAACTTTTATTTTCTTCTGCCTTACTGTTTCTGCATATCTACTTCAAACTACTAACTTATAATCTTAAAGCATCGGCACAAATACTTTTGACTACAATCTAGCCACGTCCACTTGAATACACATCTTAGCTTTCTATTGTATTTTTCTTCTGCTTATCTTAAATAATGTTTTGTGATATGTTTTCGAATACCCTTAAATGAAATCAGTATTCATCATTTGCTAATAATGCTTCTCTGGCCTTTTACTCCTCATAAGATCTCCTGAAACTAATATATAATGATGTTTCTGATCCAAGTTTAACTATTTCATCCGGAATTTCAATACCTTCGTAGATTTCTCATACCCTAATCAATGATGTTACGTAGTATTTACTAATAGAAATTAGTTCACTTTTTTCACTGCCTGCAAAACCTTCGATTTTTTACTGTAATTGGACATTGCGAAAACATTTACATTTCTATCGAAGAAAATCTGTTGATTTTATAGATTATTTTCTGAAGTCAATTGACCTACATTGTTGCCATTTTCCAACTATCCATAGAATATATTAGTTTCGATTGATTGAGGTAAATCGTTGCATCTTTTTCTTTTTAATGTAAAGTTTAGATAAAAAGATTTTTATTATTCGTAAATAATTATTAATTAATTAAAATAATATAAAAAATAAAATGTTTGTTGTTGTATTTCATTACTGTTCGAAAAAAACCTCTTTTTAAAAAGATTTTTGGAATTCATTTTCGAAACAGTAGTCTGTGCTTACTGTTAATTTATGTAGTAGGCTAGAGTGCACTTATACAACTATACCACTCATGTGTCATACCCCATATGTTGCCGATAGAAATATATATATGAGGTACATAGTCATATAACGACAGTTTTATAATATATAAAAAACAATTTTAGAATACAGACCCCAATTTCTACCACTCATGCTTTTATAGAAGCACAAACCCAATTATGTTCCTTAAACATTCTTTATATTCATTCCTCTTTTCATTCATTCTTTTATCCATTCCATATAAGTTAATTTCTTATCCCTTTCTTGGTTTTTAATTAAGGTGTGAATATATTTCGGATACGTTTGCACCTCTTAAATGTTTAAATTGTTTGAAATTTGATTTTTAAAGGCGATTATAACGAAAGAAACCATGTTTCTTAATAGAAACTATTGTTTTAATAAAAAGGTATTTTGAACAGTAGTGAATTACAACAACGAATTTTTATTATTTATTTATTAATTGAATTTTTTGCTGATCGCACAGTTGTTTCGAGTACCGTCAAATAACCATAATTAGGGTATTTGCGGTATTTGATTAAATAAATAAGTAAATAATTTTTTGAGATTGTATATACGAGGGTTATTAAAGCTAATCTGCGAAATATTTCTAAAAATCCACTGTTACTGAGTATTTGACAATTCTCGAAATAGCTGTATGGTCAGCCAAAAACTCAATAAATTAATAATTAATATAATTTTGTTGTTGTAATTCACATTATTTAAAATTATTTGTTCTCCCAAATGAAACTCAGAAAGTTTTACTTTATAACAAAGTACAAAATACAATTATACTGACATAAAATGAAACTTTTTGTATCTAATTACCTCACAGACATTTATATACAAGTGAATAATCATATCATGAAACCGCTGGAGGAGTACATGCTATTCACCAAATCAGGTGCTGACAACATAACAGTAATTAATCCACAAGGCGTACGAAGTGCACAATGTACTGCTAAATTTGATATATTAGAACAGCCCCTACAGGAACCAATGGTCAACATAAGTCTGGTAAGTGTGAATACCCCAACATAACCAAAAACAAAAAAAAATCAATCATTAACAGTCCGGCATGTAGTGAGCAACAGTAGAACGTGCTTAAAACAAAGAAATTTTCAATTTTACGAAAAACGCTAATTAAATGCATTTCAATATAGAGCGCCGAGACTTGGGTAGCGGAACCACCGCAACGCGTGCCCTACGTGGCGAAATACATTTACGATGTGTCCAAAAAGGAAGATTCAACGCAGGTCGTCTTCATCACCTTAACAGCCATGTTCGTCATCATTGTAATTTGCTGTTTGGTGGAGGTCTATCGCAGTCATTTGGCGTATAAAGCACGCAAAGAGCGCGAAACGGACGAGGATATTATATTATCAAAGGAACAGGCAACTAAGATGCATATTTCGCCCGGTGTGACTGGTGTACAACCGTACACATACAAAGCGGTAGGCACATGTTTTGATAATTTTTTTCTAATTAAAAATTTTATTTTTATATTTTTTTTGTAATAATTTTTGTAATTATTTGTTTATTTTTCATAACCAAAGCTGCCACAAGATGAGAAAAAGCCTGGCAATGGTGCACCTTTAGTGGGAATATTAAAGAATGGCAGCACAGTTACAAAAGAAAATTTGACGAAGAAAAATGGTGATTTAGCATTGGGCCATATTGATACACGTATTGAAGAAGTTGATGAGGACGAAGATGAACACCATGCTGATGATGATGATGATACTTTCAGTTCTGTAAGGAGCGATAATGAATGTGCACAAGAAAACAAAAGTGATAATAATGTTAATAAAGATAGCCAAATCGATAAAGAAAATAGTCTTAATAAAATTAAAAATATAGCCAAAGATAACGAAGTGAATACCATTAATAGCAATAGCAATGGTATCCATACAAACGAGAATAGTGGGAAAATGGCATTACAATTAACTGGGGTAAGCGGTACGTTAAAATAAAATTTCATTTTTATTCTTTATTAAATGAAATTAATATTGAAATATTTTTAAATTTCAACTTTAGAAAATGCCTTAAATTCTAATAAGGTTTTGAATGAAAATTCTTTGACAAAAGTCGAAGCCGAAATCCATGCGACAAGTGAAACAGATGTCCCAACTGAGGCAGAAACTGTTGATGTCAGCTCGAATCCTGCAAATAGTGCAGCGCCGGTAAGCAACTACTATGAGCGCCAATTTAATGGCAACCTTAATAAATTGGCACCACTGAGCTCGATTAGTGAAACGAATTTGCATTTTTGATTTGAACCTAACAAAGATTTTTATTAAATAAATATTTTAAATATTTTTAAATTAGTTGTTATTGTTATTTATTTATATTTTTTATTATGTGCATCCTTAAACTAAACAATTTTCACTTATTTTTTTTTTATTTTACTGTAAAAGCATGTACATCTGCCTAATTGTTCGAATAGTTAAATGTCACTAACACATCCTTTAAGTTAATATGTGTATATAAAAATTAATTAATTAATTTAATTGAATGCATTAGACGACATATAGTTTATTAAGAATATTATTATTTAATAAAAAATATAATCAAATATTATAATCATTTTAAGTTAAATTTACATATTTTCTGTTTATTTGTTAATAACACTTTCAGTATTATTTGTAATCGATATCGATTATCACAAAAGTCAGTTAATATTACAATATATTATATGTATCCTTTTAAAATATTCTAAAATTTTTTTATTATTTTATAATAAATTCTCTTTAATTATTTAAATGAGCAAATATATAAATATCTATATATATATGTTAATATATATTCTATATTATATAGTTTCTAAGGTGAATTAGTATATTATGTGCTATTGGCAAGAATTATATATGGGCCATATATATTTTTAAAGACAGCTGACAATGATTATTAGACAATATTCTAAAAACTTATATGGTAAATAATAAACTCATTTTATTTATATATTTATTTAAAAATAAATATTTTTGTAATTATTTTCTTTTTGCTATTATTGTATGATATTTATAAATATCCGCGGTGTTTTGTACCCAAAGGTTTTGGTATCCATCTAACAACACTAATTCAATTATATCAAACATGTGTTCGTTTGACAGAATTTTTTGTATTTGGTAGATAGTTTTGTAATTCACTCGTATTAAAAGTTAAGTAGTATACATCGTTTAGAAATATATTAAAAAAGCTAACTATGCAAAGACGGTCGATGTTTGGGGATCATATAAGATACCGCAAAAGAATTTGATTTATCAAAATACTATTAGTTAAACGATGATTATTTTTCGCGAGAACCGAAACGAGGTCGAAATGTTTCACAACTGACCATAAAAAATTGTTTAAATATGAAAATATATTGAACGCAAGCCATGTGGTCAAAGACCGGTGACCCTTTACATACGACTTCAAAGCTTGGAGTGACGGCAAACAAAGTTGTGTTGAGTATTTGGTATGATCGAAAGATAACTGTCTATTACGAGCTACTTCAGCATACTGCAGTGGTTAATTCAGTCCTCCACAGGTCAAAACTCGACCGGTTTAACAAAACAATCCAGAAAAGCGACTAAAATTGACCAACAGATAAAGAGTTGTATTCCAACATTACAACACTCATAGCCACACACAACTATAATGGCTCGGAGCAAAGTAAAGGTTTAGTTTTGATGCATTTACCGTATAATCCGGACTTTGCATCATCTAACTACCATGTAACGAAACATCGCGAATACTAACCAATATCAACTAATATATGTTGTGGGGAGTTTTTTCAGATATTAACTCTATTACTCACATTATAACATATATCAAAGATTGATACCATTAAATGAGCAATAAGAATAAAGAGAAATGAAGTACTTTTATACTCAATAAGGTAAAGAGGGAAAAAAAGTATACTAATTGAATTTTATGATCACGATAAGGAATCATCATATAAACATTATCAATTCTTCATTATAGTCTACTACATATATTCGTAACTCTTTTTTATTACTTATCAGAACTATTTACTATAATCTAGAATTTAGTAATTAAACTCTTGATGTTTTTTTTTATTAAATTTAATGAATAGTAAAAACTTAAAAGTACACCAGAAGGCAGTATTCTTCGTTAAATAATTCATGTATTTTAAAAAACTATAGTACATATTTAATTAATATTTTGTAGCTGTAATATGTGCTGTACTATTTCATTGTTCTCTGCTACTAAACAGCATTATTTTTTAAAATTCAAACACTTACTATATAATCTTGCTCTGTCTATTACATATGTTCAGTTTTTAATATAAAATATTAAATTATATTACGAGTCATTGAAAAGAGTTCCCCAGATTGTTTTTGTAGCACATTTAAACTATTTTAGGTGCATTGGCAGAAACTATAGTCGGAACCTATTTATCTCGAAATTAAAATTTTGTCTTCACTTTTTTTTATATTCTTTTTAAGACGATATTTATCAATTGTGATATATTCAGCATTTATGATATTACTACTATGGTTGAACGACGTTAGAGCCTTGTGCACTAATTTCGACTTAAGTATAAATTATAGCTCATTGTGTTATCACGAAAAAAACATCAGACACCATATACCAAATATGTATCAGACTTCTGCCGTTTAAACGGTTTTCAACTCTGATATTCAAGTCAAATAGAAGCAACCTCGTAAGGTTGCTTCATATGTAATTTAAATTGTTGATAACTCTGTCACTTTAGTTAGGAAAGGCGGACCGAAAGCTTTTAAATACCTTCCTAAACAATGATATAAACAACTAGCGAACAAACGGTGCTAGAACAGTGTTCCATTCCAGTAAAAGGCAAGCATCTTGATGAGTCTATGTGTGTAGCTACGTACAGTTAGAAAAGAGGATCGGAAAATTTTGATTCTTCTCCTAACCAATAATGAAAATGACACCTGGAGTAAAGTACGGACTCTTTTCATCCATAGAACCATAAACACAACAGAAGGCGTTAGTAGTGTCACAATTATATTGTTTAAAATAACAGTTTAATCATTTTTTCATCTTCCATACCAACCAAACTGTCGAGATACGTAATTTTTTTACTGCAACGGCAACTCTGTAAGATAGAAGAAGATGGACAGTGTTGCTGTTAGAACATATATGTTTATTTCTTTCGATATAATTTTAATTTTATTTATTTGTAATCATTAAAAATAATAAACTACTTACAAATTCAATGTAATTTTTTCAATTGAATTTATGTTTTTCTCTTTAAAGATTAAAAACATTTTTTAGTTACTTTACCATTGAACTAAGACTGCATACTAATTACATTTCCTACAATTCTTCATTTGCATAGTAAGATAATTGCATTTCAATAGAGAATGGTACAACAAAATGTTCTTTTGTCGAATGTTCAATGTAAGAAAAAATAGTTGAAGTTTAACCATAAATTAGATTTCTTGCAAGAACAGTACCATATCCGCTTGCTCAACTTATGCTTAAAATATAACATAACTTTTTCCTTTGTAATCCATAGATTGTCCTATACTCTATGTTCTATTATTAAACGATAAACTTTAAATATATTGGGTTCTGCACACAACAAAAAGTAAATTGAATTTTGTGCCCCTTTCTTTTACATTTGCTACCGCAATTTACGAAGCAATTGCGGCTTTGAAGTCATGAAAATACGAGTAAACAAAAAATATCATAGTTATTGTATTTAATGTTATTTTTTACTATCTTAACTTTGATTTTATTTTTGTTATATAAGAAATTCAAAGAGATAAAGTATAAACTAAAAGCATTTCATTTAAAAAAAAAGTCTTTACCAATGTTATCTTTAGATAGCATTGTCTGTACTTAACATTGCCTCAAGCTTTTACGTTAAAATGTATTCTTAAATGATTTCAAAAAAAAGAAAAAAGGAAATTAATTTTTATGCAAATAAAAAAATAAAGTTGAATTTTATTTTTAAGAACAAAAGTGTAAAATCGTCGACAAAAAGTTCCTTTCAAGAACTTCCATTGCATCTTTAACTTCTTTTCATACAATACTTTGAGTTTAGTTTAAGTTCATTTCTTTTACGAGTACACATTTTGTTTGTTTTTAATCCTTAATTCATTTTATTTGCTAGGAAATAAGCAACAAACTTTTCAATACATTTCACTTTTATTTGCTCTACAACACATTTATTAAACCACAATCCTGTGGCAAAAGTCATTAAAAGTTAAATTTATATCTGTGTGTATATCTGTGTAAAGGATACGCACACTTCAAAACACAACAACTGCACATATAGTACGTAACTTATATGTATATGCAATCTAATAGGTAATGAAATACTATATCGTATGTAATGAAATAAGCTAATAGCAGTCGATAATGATATGTTAATTTAATTAAAATTAAAAAGTTCGTAAAAAAAAAGCAATACTTTTGAAATGGTTTTCTTTTAACTCATTTAAATTATTTTTCCCTTTACATTTTTCAGACCACACTGCGTATACGCAACGTGTAATTAAATTTTTTGGTTAAGTTATATTCCCACAGCAGCATAGATGATAAAATTCAATATAAAACATTTTATTTATTTAAAGTTTTTTTCTGTGGTTTTCAAGCTTTTTGAGTGATCATTTTTGTACAGATTTGGTTTGATATTTTTTTTATTTTTATTATTGACTGAATAAGAGAGATTATTGCAAATTGTTGTGGTTTACATTAACAAACTTAAAAAAAAATTTCTGTTGAAATTATAATATTATTTATTAAGTTAAACAGCAGCTCGCTTTGAATTACTCTAATATTAGTTGCATTGCAGTTTTCGTTAGTAAGTTGAGTTTTTATATAGACTTACGCTTTTATTAGGCATTTTCTTTTGTAAGCATATCACAAAAGAACAACCGCTTATTTTAAAAATAACATATGAAACAACAACACTACTGGCTTATTGAGTCCAACCTTTTTAAAATCGCTTAATTAATAAACAGTTTAAATCGCATGGTTGTCATGACTAAAAATTTGTCTATTGTGTATGATTTTTGGAAGTACCTACGAAATTTCTAGTTAATTGTCAACGAATGATGCTTCGTATTTCGTGTCGTCATTGTTCGTAACAAATACCTTACTTTTTCTGTTTATTATTTTACTGTTAAAAGACATTAAAATTCATATTTTATTCACAATCATGTATAAAAAATATTCTTACCAATAATTATTATTCATTTTCAAAATTTTAATTGTAAATTTTATTACGTGTTTTGCATAAATAAGCTTAACAAATTTCCATTTTGTGCAGAGTTGCCTATCAGAAAAGTCCTATCATTGATTATTCCTTCTGGTTATTGAGTAATGCATTATTAAATTAAATCTAAAAGCTAAAATCAAAGGAGCAAAAAATACTTACAACTTACGAAAGAAAACCTCTATGCATACTATTTCCAGAAATAACACTCTATACTGGTATCGCAATGGACCTTAATAGTCTGCGCGTGGTCTGCCAGTACAATCTAACCAAAACTACGATAGAAAACATGTAAATCAACAACAATGCTCTTAATATCTTCAGAGTAAGGTTTTACTCGCAAAAATTTTTACATCTTAAGTTACAGTGTAGTTAAAATCAAAAATCAGTCTATTGTGAATGTTCACTGGAAATATATTTTGCAAAATTCCATTCAACCATTAAAATCGTATGAGTACTTCTTTTACTTATAAATTCAAATACATAAATAAATAAATTAATTTAAATATATAAGCTAAAAATGCTAACTATTGGCCTTCTAATATTTATTTAATATTTATATTTCGTTCATAATAACAACAACAATTCTACATAAAATATTGAGACTTTTTGATGAAGTCAGCTATTAATAGTTATTTCGGTGTCGGTTTTGTCCATCTCTTCACGTATTAACCTGATTTGGCTGGTCTTTTACCTGTTCTTTTTCATTTTCCTCTTTTTTTTTCTTCTTCTTGTTCTCCTTTTTTTCTATTTCTTCATCTTGTTCTTCTTCTTCTTGTTCTTGTTCTCCTTCATCTTCTGCTTCTTCTTCTTCTGCTTCTTCTAGTTCTTCTTTTTTTCTTATTTTTTCTTTTTTTTTTTCTTCTTTTTATACTTTTTCTTCGTTTTCTGCATTTATTGTGAATATTTTGTTATATTGCGACTTTATTATCAAACTCCTTTTCAACAACTATATATTACTGTATTATACATTGGTAACGGTAATGGTTTATGGGTTAGGCTAAGACTTTTATGCACTGCCACCAGCTTCATCTATTTGCACCCTTTTGTATTCAGAGATTTAGTATCTCAAGAAATCGAACCAGCTCCTATGGAAGGAGTTTTTAAAGGTCTTTATCCTCTAGTTGCTCTGCACTTAAAAGTTTGTTTCTTCTGTGGTCTAATACATAACAGTTGGTGATCAGATAGACTCTTCCTCATCACAGCAAAAGCTGCAAATATTTGTATCGGATATGCCTATTTTGTGTATATGTTTATTGCAGGTGGCGTGACCTATGAGTGTATGAGAAAGTGACTTAAGACTCTTCTGGTTTAGATTGAGAACTCTGTTTGCTCTTTTGGTATCAATATTCAAGAATGTATTATACATTAATATAATGTATTATATAATTGATTTGTGCAATAAATTATTGAATTCTACAGAAGATTTATTTTAACAATACTCCATTCTGTTACAATAAACCAAATATTTAACTCTATCAATATTTAAGGAAAATTTTTTTATGCATGTATATTTAATGAAATCATTTGAAAGTGATTTGTTTGCATGGCAATTGAATTTAGTATACCATATACAATATTAAAATTAAACTCCATCACACAAAGAAGGATCAATATAGTTGCATGATAATGGCCCAAAGCAACTGGCATGTGAAGTTTCTGAAACAATGCTTTATAATTGAAAATCGCACGAAGCAAATACTCTGTACACGAGTGCATCATAAATTAATTAAAATATAAATTAAATAACTCAAAATCAACTAACCGTGCAAACCTGTGTGCTTTAACAGTTAAAAAGGCAGCAAAGCATAAAAGTGGAGCGTAAGCCATCGGTGAAACGTCAAGTATCGTGGGGACCGCCGACAATAGCGGAAGCAGATGCAGATACAATTAAACTAACAAAACCGATTAAACAAAATGGCTATTGCAGTACTGGTAACCGTACAACAACAACATAAAATTAATTATTAAAGAAAAATCAAAAAATTTTAATTAAAAATTTAGTCCTTACATGAGAATGTATTAAATTTCGTTACTTTTCTAATTTTTTTTATTTTTGCTTTAATTTTTAAATGCATATCATTTTGTATTAATTCATTTAAATTTTTGTCTGTAAATATTTTTGTGATATTTGGTATAAATAAAAGGATATCGAAAAATTTAACCAAATTTTTGTTAATTATAAAATTTTCAGAGTAAATAAAGTACCAAAAAATGAAACTCACTTGAGAAAAAAGACACAATAATTTTAATTAAAAAACTTTAGTCCTTTATACCATGAAGTTAAGTGAAATAAGAGCAATGAAAAAGTGGAAACAAATTTTTTAAGCAATGTGAACATTGCACAAGTGACGCTATATGCCAAAGTGAGGGTGTAATAATTTATTTGGATGCAGGAATATTTCCCAACAAGGAAAGCTCATGTATATTTTAAATAAAAATTGATGTACTCTAATTTTGACCTTGTACGTACATATTTTTAATATAGTTCTAACATAAATAAAACTGTACATACATATTTTCAAAATGGTCTTAACATAAATAAAACTGTACGCTCCGATGTTTTTTTGTACACACATATGTTTTCCTTTTTTTGGTGAAGTTGAGAAGTATCAGCTGCCACAGTATGAGTCTTTAACCCACTAAAACATCACCTCTTTATAGTAAATTGTGAATATTTAATTTGATTTTAACGTCAGCTATAACAGTAGTGATTATTTTACTTAATAGAAACTCTATTATACATAGAGATTTTCTGAACAGTACCGAATCGCAACAAAACTTTTTCAGTGGTTGTTGATGGGTATTCAATTAATTAATAATAAATAAAAATTTTTATTGTTGCAAATCAGTACTGTTCGAAACCTTTCTAGTAAATTGTGAATTGAATTGCAACCATGAAAGGAACCAACAGCCAAAATGTCACACATGTAATCAAGAGCAGATAAAGAAGATCAATATTCTTCATAACTACTGCAGTCCTCTTCTCACAGTGAAGCATAGGACCTCATTGTTAACATTTAACAAATTAAATTGATATAGCCAAAAATATGAACAACAAAAAAACAACGATATATTTATGGCTAGTAACGAGGTGTGGTAGTTGCAAAACTGCTGTTTAACTGGATTTGTTATAAACTCTTCATTCCAGACCGCATGCAACAAGCTTTATCAACGATAAATAAATAGTGCGTTACAGAAGCGCACTCTATTAATCTATCTAAAACTGTACATGTAACATTCAATTAGAAGAAAAGCATTAACTTCAAATATCCTCTACTTAATGTCACCACACTTTCCTGTACTTGTTTTTTTTGGTGACACAAAGGGTTTGTATTCCAGAATTTTCTACTGCATTGAAAATAAGTTTTCCATAAATAAAATAAAAATATGTTTAAAGAACACTAACTTTATTGTGTGGATCAACTCCAAAACTATTTCATATTCCTGCAAAGATTCTACCATAGTATTTAACTAAACATCGTTTCCATTAAAAATTTATCTAGTTATATTACAGTTCTCTGTTATCTGCGGTAGCACTGATATAAGTTGAGACTCCACGACACAATTTCTTATACAAGCAAAAATACTGTCGAAAAAGATGCTTTGGTTAAGTAGGGTACAGATTAAGAACCGGACACTAATATCCGATGTTTTTATGAAGTGTACATCGAAAGCTTAAAGCATATTCTTGATATGTCCTGCATTTGATAAACAAAGTCTTCAATACCTGGTTGGTTGATTGGATCAAGTGTTGACTCTATCCATGAACCGACTTAGTATTTCCACACCGTTTTGATGTTAGATCTTCGAATATATACTTGTCAATTTAAGAAGCTTTATAGGTCATTAATGTTAGCTAATACTAGATCCCTAAGATTACAGAAGTGCAATTTATCTAGTGTGGCTGTTCTTCATTTTCAATAAGTAGTTTTTGCACACATTAAATAAAAAAACTTTTATATTTCCTACAGCTGTTTACAACTGTGACAATAAGTAATCTAGATCATGTCCAACTTAACAATCTGCTCTTCAATATACCAAAAACCATTAATAACTACCATTAAATTTACACCCAAAAATTTACATTGAGAGGGACTTTCAAATAATTTCTGAAATTTAAGACATAATTTTTATCTTATTGAGCAATCATAATAGTACATCGATTTATTTTAAAGGATTTTAACCTTATGCCCCCCTCCACCCTGAGCACGAGCCCGATAATTGACATCAATCCAGAGACATCTCTTCCATTTTTGCTAATCAGGCAGAATGTTTACTTTAAATTTTATCCTAGGAAGTAGGAAGTTAACTAAAAATATATTGTCATAATGTGGGGTATATTTATTTTTGTTTTATATATGCCTCGTTATAATCAGTGGGAGATTTCAACCTACGAAAATCACCTTTTGTCCGACTGTTTGCCCTCTCGGAATCACCGATTTGGTAAAGAAACTGTTCAACATCTATTTTTTTGTCGTCATTTCGTCGATTGACTGCATTTTTCAGCCTATATGTTTTCATTTGTTATCGTTGTAGTTGTATCACTGCTGTTGCTGCTTTTTGGGAACGCCCTCCCCGCTTACGTGATAAAGCTCCCCGCTCTTCTTCAAAATGTCTAAGCCGCCACATAATTTAAGTTCAGAGCCTTTTTACTGAATGCGACATGAAACTGCTTGAATATATTTCATGTGCAATGCTTCTAGGAGATGGTACATTCTTTAGAGACTCCACGACTAGTTCCTGTTCCTCTTCAGAGCAGTCGCAACGAAAAATTAGAGGTTCTGCGCTTTCAGCGATGTTGTAGCAGATTGGACAGTAGAGATTATTTGGCAGCTGAAATTGGTAAAGATATTTTAAAAAACCTCCGTGAGCGCTCAATATTTAAGTCAAATTGTATTCCACTTCACTCAATCTTTCATATTGGGATTGAATTCATAGGTTCGTCGACTCCATGCTCTCAAATATGGGACTGCTCCTATTTTTGCTTCCATTCTGCTAAATGAATATGGGCGTATATGGTGATATATGTCTAAAATTTATTCAAGATAACATTTGTTAATTTGTTAAATAATAATCTTTTTGCGAGTTTCAAATTATACTGAATTTAAAGAGGGGTTATGAAGAGACCAACTGCGTGAGTAAAAGTGCTTAAAAGCACTAACTCAACTATGCTCAACATAATAACAATAGAAAAATAAGTATATAATAAAAATAATAACTAATATATAAAACAAATTTTGTAGGGTTTCAAATATTCTTCTTTGCTGGACTAAAACTGCCACATCAATAAAACTATAAAAAATTCATAAACTCATGATGGCATATGTTGTTTTTACATACTATAACATATGCATAAATTTAAACAAATATATTGATATGTAGAAGTTAAAATTCACAAAAAAAAAAAAACAAAATATACATATGTATATAAAATAATTGTATTTATAATATGTACAATGTTCATATACTCGTATAAGATTTTTACTAGCATAAAAGGCCACAGTGGTTAGTGGCTTTGTCAGTCTGTTGGTCAACGTTTTTTTCATAATTTGCTTATTATTAAAAATTTTTTATTTACTCCAAAACAAACACTGGAAAAAAAGTTGAAATTTTTTATTTTTAATTATTAACTTAGCTTTTGTATGAAAGTTTTAATGCACTATAGTGTCACAATCAAAGGAAAAAAGGTAAAAACCCCAAAACGAACCACAAGCAAAACCACAGCACAACATTTTTCCGCAAAATGTCGTTAAATGTTTGAAAATTGCTGTTTGCCATAAATTGGGATTATGTGATTAAATTAAATGATTTTTGCACCAAAATAAAATAGCATAGAAAAAGGAGCAGAAGAGAGTTAAAATCACAAGGAAAAAAAATCAAACACTAAACAAGTCATGGTTTTAATATAAGCTTAATGAAAAGGATGCTGCAAAAAACTAAGAGGAAAATTTCATCCAACAGAAATTTTAGCCACATACGACACGACATATGTGCAACAATGTGTGATTAAAAATAATTTAATGTTGCTTATACGCTTGACGATAAGACACTGTTGACAGGATACTTTACGGAATAAGGTTATTGAAAGAATAAGCTTAAAACGCTTTTAATTGCTCATTAAAATCATATAATATATATTACTTAGAGTAGAAATTATAGTGAATATGAGTCAACTTAGATTTTATGTCGTTAACATTATTGGATTGATATTGGTGCAGCTAATAATCTTGAAATTGTGATGAATTTAATTCAAGTTAGCCTTTTCTAAGGTTCGAATTTTCCATATGTATACAAGATATATATATATAGATATATACAAGAAATAATGACCGAAATGAAAGCTAAAATTCCTTAAAAAACAAAACCGACTTTAAAATATTTTCGACGTAACAACCTAAAAAATTTAAAACAAATTTATACTGAAAGAATATTTTTTGATGTTCACATCACTGGATTAACACAAACGCAATCAAAGAAGAAAATTTGGGACTTAATCAAATCCGAATTAATTCAGCCCCAAAAATGCAACCAAAGTGATGTTTTCTCATAAAACAAGATCCATAGAAGAATGACTACTCCATCGTCCCAATCATTCAAATATGATGTACCAATAGCGAAGGTTTTGAGCAAGTCTGCAGTTCTGCAGCAATAATTAAAGAGTTTTCAATGGAATAAAGTATTTTTTTTTTTGATTTCTGCAGCAATAACTGAAGAGTTTTATGTGGATTTACGGATTATTTCAGTGGAATAAAATATTTTTTTTTTTGCCTCTTTGCAGCAATAACAGATGAAATTTATAAGATAGTGCGAAACTCTATTGATTACTTTTGTAGAATGCAGCATCTGCTATTGAAAACATTTCCATTCGCTTTTCTTTCTCCTCCCTTATTTACTATTGGCTTCATAGAGAAATTTCAAAAAGTAGTAAACTACAAAAACAAAAATTCTTTTTATATTATTTTAATTAATTAAATATTTGGATGATCATATAGTTGTTACGAGAAATTGCCGTTATCAGTCGTAAATAATTTTTTGAGGCTCAGAGTCAACGTTCATTAGCCAACTAAA